AATTTTATTTAAAGCATAATTTCTCGATGCACAGGTATTAAATTTTAACAAAAATTATATTATATGATAGCCCCAGTGTAGGAAAACATAATAAAAAAAAATATGTGCAATTTAGATTTCTCGTTGTGCCACAATTAGCATTTGAATTTTAAAAATATTTTTAATAATTTTTAAGTGGTCGGATACTTTTGGCCTGGGAGTGTAGTTTTATTATACACATAATAAAATATGATAATTCAACGTTCTATATGACTGTAGTACCTGTAGTACTGATTACTGACAAATAATTCAATCTAATTTCTATATGTTATGTTTTCTCTATAAAAATGTATCAGTTAGATGTTGCTTAAAAAAAGAGTGTCTAATTAACAATATCTCCTAATTATCAAAGATCTTCAGGAATAACTATGAGTCTTCGTAATACAAAACCTCTATTATTAGAATAAATCGATTCTCCCTATAAAATGAATTTTTTATCAAATGTTCAGAAATTTGTATATTATATTTTTATAACAAATTCCATAAAGTAATACCACCATCTATCCATCTATCATTTATTAAGAATTAAAACTTTTTGTTTTAAATTTTGATAAATAGTAAATAACGATTTCAATTGTAAATAGTATAACACCTATAAATTTAAAGTTGTCATTTTTCACAAAAAGGAACCTATTGATTCAGAAGAAAAAAAAAGATTATTTGTTTGTTACTGTATTTTTTATACTTGAATATTAATTTCTATTTTATACAAGATTTCGGTTTAAAGATCAATTAATATTAATCATCGAATTACTCCGAATATTTATATTTGTATTATATTTAATTTATTATTTATTTATTTAATACTGAATATATTGTAAAATTTAAATAGTATATATCCAACCAATAATCAACAATTCTAAGAAATTTTATTTTTTACAAACATGTGAACAATTATCTTGAAATTTTTGCAAAATATATTTTAAGTAGACAGCAAAATAATAAAAATAATATTAATAATTAAAAATTTCAATAAAATATATATTTATTTATTTTCTTAAAAATACAATCACATAATTAATATAGAAACAATAATAGCTGAAATATTCAAAAATAATATAACCTAGTTAAATGGGATAAATTGCATGTAATTTATAACTTCGAAATAGCCAATAATTTAAGAAATTTTAGTTAAATTAATTGATAAATTTCATTGCAAGTTAAACTGAAAATTAGTATTAAAAAAAGAGATAGATATATTGTTTTCCAACCAATTTTAATCTAGCAACCAGATTATCTATGTTAAAAAACAGAAGGTTAAGGTTTACTTGTAATGTATGCTTCAGAATTAGAAGTTTCAGCGAAAGATAAATCATCTTGCATTTTTTGTTCTGCATTTAAAAACATAAGTAATCATTCTGTTTTATAATCATACAAAAACCTATTAAACCAATTTTCTGATCTAATATAAATCATTTCATCACTTGGATGTTCAGCTGGATCTTTGTGTCAACACTTCAACATACATGCTGTTTTGTTTCCGAAAATCCATTTTTTTGCGCATATTATGCTTCCAGATTTGGTATTTGATCATTATTTCCGGATTGAGTCATATTTAATATATTTTTAAATTAATTCGTTTTAATGTTTTAATATATTTACAGATTTGATTAATATATTTCTTGGATTAATTCTTTCTAGAAAATCAATGATTTCGAAAGCAAATTGCAGATTTAAATGAGCAAAAATACAGAATTAAAAGATGATTATGAAGCCAAATTAGATAAGGCGAATGAGGAAATTGAAAAATTAAAAAGAAGAAATCGAGTTTTGGCTGAAATTAATAAACAATTTGGAGAAGAAAATGATCAATTAAACAAAGATCTTGACCAATATAAAAAATATCGTATGCCAAGACCATTTCAGGCAAGATCAAGTCCTGATAATTCCAGAAGTGTTATTAGTACAAGCTCTTTAAAAACGTCCAAGAACTATTAGGTCCAGATTCAGATCAAAATCTAGAAAAATAAGAAAAACATTGAAGAGAAAAAGTCGGATGAGTGGTGATGAATCCAAATCAGGATCAGAAATCAATTATGATGAGAAACAAATGAAAAGGAAGCCAGAGTTTATAATTCAGTTAATCTTCGAAATGCAATTTTATATTATTTTTAATTATTTAATTTAAAAAATAATATTTACAGATAGAAATGAAACTAATTATGAAGAAAATTGATGACGAATTTAATTTGAATTATGATGAAACTTTCGCCATTCTGGTGAATCTTGAAATTCAACGAAAACTAATACCGGAATTGAGTAAAGCATTATAATCAAAATATAACCCATCTATTAGAAAATTGACACTATGGCTTAATAGTCTCCACAAATCCCGACGAGCCACAGTTAAAATGTGCAATTCTGGTAAAATTTCAAAAGATCTTCAACGTGTACATGTCAACAATCGGCTTAATGATGTATAAAATTTATTTTTATTATATCTGCATTTTTCTTTCTTTATTTTTTATTGTATTTATTAACTGTACAAATAAATTCTGAATTTAGAAAAAAATTCGTCTGCTAAAGATCTACTGTATATGAAAAAATGATTCGCGAATTATTAATTGTGAACAGGAATCATCCTGGCGGATCGCAACTATCATTCGCCAAAATATCCAATGATGATGATGATTTGACCTCAAGTAAGATAAATTTGTATTTATTTTTGGGATATTTCAAATTACAGTATTATGACTCAATCTGCAAATTTACAAACGGCTCAATTGCAGTGTAGAAGGAATTGTTCAGCTGTATAACTACCCCTCGCTGAAAAATGCCCTGACTGGACTTTTGTTGATTAAGAATCAGCTTATGATACCGAAATTGATCAATTGGAGGGCGAATATGAGAAGGGTGGTTCGAATTTATCTTAATATTTCTGGCATTATAACATTATAATAAAAATAATAACAATAATAACATTTTTATATTTGTTAATAATATGTCAGTATATAATAATAATAAAATTTTAGACATTTCGGAAATGATTTATGTAAGTAATGAATATTATTTGATAATGTTTTGGCAAATACAATGAATATATTCTTTAAATACATTAATGAATAAATAATATGACTTTCGATAATATTTCGATAGAATATAATGAGGTTTTAGTGATGAACTATATTTTGGTGGGTACATTTATGAATATAATAAGATAATAATATAATAATAATTTGATAATAATACATTCAGTAAACTATCAGCAATGGGTTGATAGAATATTTGGGTTATTTTTCTGGATCTCGGGTTTTATTTTTATGGATTGCGACCTATGGTTGCCAATCGTCTAACAAACGTAAATAGCTTATAGCAAAAAAAAAAATGTCAGGTTTTCAACCACCTTTCATCTACTTTTCGGCTGAAAACACTCCATCCGAAAATTAGCCGAAACGGACCATTTTGACCAGTGAAAAGCAGGAATTTCTTTTAAGTCTTAACAAAGAGAATTTGAGTTCAAATTTTGATCTGACTTAATAAAATAATATTACAAAATACAGATCACTTTATTAATCATTATTTTGTCTAAGTGATAAACTTCCTATTAACAAGTCCTCATACCACTGTTAATAGTTAAATTGCCTTTTTCAGAACTGACCCAACTTAATTCCTTTAATATAACCCTTTATTCTGTTTAACTTTAAATACTATTTCTTAATTGTAAAGGTTTGGAAGGTTAACAGTATCTACATTATTTGAATTTTGTACATTGCTAAATTTACTGTCTCTTTTTTATTCTTCCCATTCTTCTCATTCATTTTTAATATTTCACTTTTTAATTTTAAAGAAAGTTGCAAACAATATGATCAAACGACTAAAAGATCCCTGGCAAAAATGCATAGATAGGCAAAATTTTTGTGCAAATAAGCAGGGAGATACGCAACCAGGCTGAGCTGATTTGCACCAAAAAATTTGCTAATTTTTGATCATTCGAAGTATGGAGTAGGTTGTATAGAAAATTATTTTTTTCTCTACTTTTTATATTTTAAAGAATAAGGAAAAAGTATTTTATCCAAAAATTTATGAATACATAAATCCGGGATATTTTGATTGTTCTATCTTATTGGAAATTTTAAAAGTATCAAGCACAGAATTTGAAAAATGATTATGTTGAAACTCAAATCTAAGTAAATATCAATTCATGAAGATTTATCTGAGTATTAAATGAATTATTGCAGACTTTTTCTAATTTTATATATAAATAATATTTTTCAATTAGTATGCATATTCATTTTACATTTATAAATTGTTTCAGCGCTTAGACGTTTAGCTGGATCTTTTGTGCCAACACAATTCCATTACTTCTACATAACATTGAGGTGTGCCTTTATTAATTTTGGGTCGAAGTCCATCGAGAATTGCTAAAGCTAATTCATGGTCATATACTCTGTTAGCAAATGGTATTTTTCCAGTTAAAATGATCCACATAATAATTTCAACCCTATATATATCTGAAGCTTTTGAATATTGATATTTATTCAATACCTCAGGTGCAATATATGGCAATACACCATATGCTCCGGATGATGAGGTTTTATTTACTAATCTACATAATCCTAAATATCCTAATCTTATGAATTTATATTTTGAATTACTATATGCTTCAGTTATCATTAGGTTCCCAGGGTGAAGATCATGATGAACAAATCCTTTACTATGAATGACTTTTAATCCACTGGTAAAAGAATCCAATATCCATAATCGTTCAATCCAAGGTAATGATTTATTTTGATCAAGAAATTCTCTCAAATTTCCATTTTTCATATGTCGTAAAACTATTGTATATTCTTTTGTCATTAAATCTTGAGTTATACCCAAAAATTGGTAAAACATATTTATCACGACATTGGAAATTTGCTGTTAACTAAACTATAGTTATAAAAATTAAAATAAACATATTATATATAATAAGAAAACATATTGATATATTGGTATATTTGATATTTACCTCTTTTAAAAATTCTGAACTAATTTCTTATGAGTTTTTAAGTTTCTTCAAGACAACTTGATTTGAATTATAAAATTCAAATACTTCTTCAGGCATATCTATCCATTCTGCTTTCCAAATACTGCCAAACCCTCCTTCAGTTAATACTTTACGTTATTCAATTTATTATAATCTATCCATCTCCAAATTTCCCATTCATTTGCATTTTCACCTGATTGAGTCATTTGAATAATTTTGTCAACATCATAATTACCACTAGTCCATTTTGGCATTTTTATAAGTTTACAATCTGAACATGCATTATTTAGTTCATTTAAATTTTTACAATTAATGCATCGATGTTCAAATTTATTTGATTTTTATTAACATGTGAAATTTCATTCCGATAAAAATATTCAACTGAACCTTGTCTGATTTCAGAAACCATTGGAAAGCTTTTTCTTCATCTTTTGTAGTTCCAATCCCATAGCAATATCCAAGATTATTTTGTCCCTTGGGGTCTCCCCCTTCAGTTGATCTAAGGTACCACTGGAATGCTTTCCCTTCATCTTTTATGGTTCCAGTCCCATCTTCCAAGAGTGTATTGTCCATTGTGGTTTCCCCCTTCAGCTGATTTCAGGCACCACTGGAATGATTTCTCTTCATTTTTCATAGTTCCAATTCCATTATAATAACAATTTCCAAGATTGTATTGTCCACCAATGCTTCCTCCTTCAGCTGATTTCAGGTACCACTGGAACGCTTTCCCTTGTAGTCCCAATTCCATAATGATAACAATATCCAAGATTGTATTGTCCCATATGGTTTCCCCCTTAAGCGATTTTAGGTACCACTGGAATGCTTTCCCCTCATCTTTCATGGTTCCAATCCCATGTCGATAACAATTTCCAAGATTATTTTGTCCCATAAGGTTTCCCCCTTTAGCTGATATTAGATGATAAGTAATTTTATTTTTGGTAGCAGATCGCGGATTTTGGCCCTTCACGGGTCTTGGTTTTAAGTATGACTTATGTTCAATTTATAATAAATAACCAGAAGCAAAGCCTAAATCTATCTATTGAAAAATTTTTTTAACTTTAATTAATGTTATTTATATACAATAACGACTAATTAACTAGTTTTATTTTATTTATAATATATATTATCTTATTATAATTACAATACTTACTTATTTATTATTTGTATTCGTTTAACAATTTATTTTTATAATAATAATGAAAATACTAAATAACGATTTTTCAAGAATACAAATTTTTTCAAAATCTCATTTGATGATAATTTAAAATAATATAATTTTTTTAAAGAAATTGTCTAACAATAAAATAAGTAAATAAAAATACAAAAATAAATTTTTTGACGCGTCGATAATTCACTTTTTTTCGGGAATCTTGTTTTTAATAAAATCTTTTCTTTACAATTCATATCTTATGAACATTGGCATGACCTCCTAATCTAAAAATCAATCCATGCCAGTTCAACAAAAAACAAAATCCTTAAAATTGTAATTATTATAATTATTATTCAATTATCAAAATATTTAAATAGATCGTCATTTTTATTCGTTTTATTTTTATTTTTTCTTTCAAATATCTTTTGGTACATATAATATTTTATAACCATTTAAACCAAAACTACAATATTTAAAAAAATAAATATAATATATCTCGTTAGATATGTCAAAATAATCAATAGGAAATTATTATATTAAATCTTTAATTTACAAAATGAATCTCTGAAAACTTCACTCAAAATTGAATAAAAAAAAATAAAGAAATAATTCTAATATAATTTAAGATAAATATTTAGTTGATTTTTTTTTGAATTTTCATTTTATACTTAAAAAAAAAAAGGAGAAAATTAAATTTTCTAAAATATATTTGAATGAAAAATAGAGAAATTCTTTTCTTTAAATGAGTTTTCATTATTTAGCCTTGTTGATTCTTTATCAAAATTAATGTATTCTTTGGAATCTCAATCTAAAGTTAAAATATCAGATTTTTTTTTTAAAAAAAATTTATGTTTCCAAGTCAATACACATTGACGATTCCTCAGAATCCATATTATAAGTATATAAATTAGGATCTATAAAATGTAAAAATTTGTGATTAAAATAATACAATTATACAATTAAATTATATTAAAAATAATACCTGCACATTTTCCAGATTTTATATCTTCTAATGAATCTCGTAATTCATAAAAAGTATAAATACGTCTACCAATATAACAGGATTGAGGATGAAAGATATGTAAAGATCGAAGTAATTTTTGTTCACGAGATTTATTCATTATTTCTCTATTATCATCAGCATCTAAAAATTCTCCAAAAATGTCGTATCTATACCATAACTGTATATTAATTAATTCGTGAGAAGTTGGTCGTTTAGAAGGATTATCATCCCAGCATTTATACATCAAGTCCAAATAATATTTTGGGATGAAATTTAGAATCATATCAGGAACCTTTGGTCTTAAACCATTACATATATCAATCATTAAATAGGTATCATGTGCTTGGTCTGCAAATGGTTGGTGTCCAGTAGCCATTTCATACATAATTCCACCAAAGCTATAAATATCACCCTCCTTTGTAAATTTATTTCCTCTTAATACCTCCGGTGGAATATATGGAATTGAACCATAAACATTATTATTTTTGATATTAGAGTTTAAAATTGAATAATCAGCTAATTTGTATAAACCAGGGTCTATTAATACATATGATGAATCTAAATCATCTAGATCACAATAAGTCATCAAAATATTTTTACTATGTAAATCACAATGAATAAAGTCATTTTCATGTAAGATATTAAGACCTCTTATTATTTTACGTAGTAAAAATATTTTTTGATCCCACCCAAGTTTTAGAAAGAAATCAGATAAATTATGAATGGTATCATCACGAGATTCCATAACAATATTGTAGCTATTCGTAGAAGGGTTTTTTGAAATTCCAAAACATCTAGTGAAGCAATAAGAATTAAAAACATCAACCCCCACTTTCTTAATCTAAAATACAATAAAAAAAAATGCGTAAACAAATGATACATAAAATATTTTTCAGTTATAATTGTTTATAATTGTTTATAATTTGAATGATCTAAATATGAAAGAACATACCGAATTAAGAAATTCCAAAATATTATAATCTTTTAATTCCTTTAAAGTAACAATACAATATTCCCAATCCATATAATTTCTTAACGTAGCCGAATGCAAAGTGTAATGTTCACTATTACCTATGTATTTGATATCATGAAAATTATCATAAGCTATCCATTGTAGATTAAATTCAGGATTATTTATCTGAAATTCTTGGATAACCTTATCAATGTTAGCATTCCCGCTAGTCCAAGTTCCAAAATTTTTAATAAAATGTTCTTTAGTGTACATGTTATACATGTTATAAATTCTGGTTATGATCCACATGATCATGTAATAAATAAATATGTGGTACAAAAGATCAGATGAAAAATTTTATCTATTATCTCGTGCAAAAAGATTGGAAATCTTTATGACAACGAATTCGAATTGAACGTAATTATTTTATTTTAATAAACAAATTTTTAACTTTTCTAAATAATGAAGATAAATCCTTTTTCAAGGAAGTTATAATTCTAAACAAAATTGACTAAGAAATGGTTGAAGAAGAAAGTGATTTTGAAGAAGGATTAGAAATAAAAGAATCTTCGCGAAATAAATACATAATAAAACCTGAAGAACTCGAAATAGAAAAATTAAATGAAAAACAACGAAAAGAATTGGAATTGACGGCAGAAATGTTGGATAGAATGTATGAATTTAATAATTTATTTTATTATATTTATTTCAATTTATTATTATTATTATATTTATTATATTTTAATTTTTAATTTTTAATAATATTATTTTAATTTAATTTTTAATTTTAATTCATTTTCCATTAAATTTCAAAGTTGTAAGAATTAGACTATATTAATGAAAAAGAAGTAGGATGTAAATCAACAACATTTAGAATTAAAAGTGATTACGTTTATGATTGATTGATTTTAAAATGTGAATTGGGAATTTATCGTTGTCAAGGATTTCTCCTTTTGATGCGCAGGTTTTTAATGAAATAAATTTAAAATATATTAATATATATTGGATAATATTATATTTAATAATAAATTATAATTAATTATATAGGGTAGAAGAAAATGATTTGAAGCAATAAATATAATGGATTAGATCTTGTTTTATAATCCTTACCATCTGTATTACGTATACAGTAATTATTATTATTGTTATTGTTATCACATAATCAAGGTTGTTATTTATTTTGAATATTTAATTATATTATTATTGTTAAATAATATTTAATAAATTATATTATCTAAATTATTAAATTTATTAAATTTAGATTTTTAGAAACTATATTAACCTATATTAACATATTTTTTAAAATCTTTTAAAAATAGTCTGGTAAATGAATTTCTAGAAAGAATTTTCGAGGTTTTTATTATTATTATTATTATTATTCAGTATTTTTGGTTAATACGTTTATATGTACATAATTCGAAAGTACTAATTTAATTTCACATAAAACAAGCCTTAGGGAATCACCAATGTATTTTGTATTCCGTATTTTGCGAATAAGTCAGATAAATAAATATTTTAGTTATTTTATTCGATTACATTTTTTATTGGTTTTATTTAATAATTACTAGTTACGCGACTAGGTGAGAAAAAGATATTATATTAGTCAATAAAAGGTAATGACAACACCAAAAATTTCATATAATAATAATAATTAGAGAGAATTGAATTTTTTTTTTTGAAATATAAAATAAATAATTTTATTTTTTAATCTTCTTAGACTTCAAACACTGGTATTTGTAGTTTAAAGTATCATTCATTGGTAAGATTATAAATGTCTAATTATCCAGGTGAAGGGATTAAAAAGAGAGAAGAATAACAACAACAACAATAACTTTGAGATTGAAACGAGATGCAGATCATTTTTTTTACGAAATATAAATATTTATTTTTCTAGATAAATTTTAAACGAAAGATTCAACCATTCCATTATAAATAAATACAAACAAACTTTACAATTTTGTGAAATGTATCAATTAAATTAAAGAAAAATACAGAAAAGCTTGTAAAATTAAAGAAAATGTTTTTAAATTATGCAGTAAATAAATAAATAAATAAATATATATATATATTTATTTATTTCAAATTGTAGATAAAGAATATTTTATAATTATAATAATGAAATCTGTTCAAACCTTATTAATAATCTATAATAGTATAAAAATTTTTTAAAATTTTTAAACGTTCGTTACTACTTAATACTTACTTGACTTATTTTTATTTCATTTTTAAATTAAATTGCTAAACAAAAATACTACGAATAATCTAAATGCAGCGAATGAAATAAACGAAATTTTAATTCTGATACCAAAGATTCTTCTGAAAATAAAAAGCTGATTGTTTATTAACTAAGTTTGTAAAATTGATTAAATATTTAATATTAAATATATGAATTCGATTGTTGATTAGTAGTTTTATTCTAAGAATGTTCTTATCAACGAACCAGAAAAATCGAAATCTCACCACCAGTGTTGGTACACTGTCCGATTATTCAATTGAATTCCAATATTTATTGAAAAATAATTTTAATATAAAATGTAAAATCAAATTATAAATTATTATATTAATTATTATATTATATTAAATTAATCAAATATAGTAACATGTTTAATTTTTTTTATATTTAAAATAATCATCAATTTAATTTAATTGGCTAATATTGAAATGATAATGCGCACCTTTATGTATTATTACACTGCATTATTATAAACTTTATTATAAATGACATTGAATAATTCTTAAAAATAATACCCTTCAATTAAAATCGTTATTTTACCGAAAAATGTATACTTCTGTCAATAACATCATGGGTGCTACTTCATGAGCATCTGAGTATCTGTCGCAAGAAGCTACAGATTATTTGAACGGGTCCATCCGCGGTCACGTTTTTGATGTCCTTATATTCAAGTTGAGAGCTTATTAGAAAAAATAATTTTTTTAAATTTCATTTTTCAATTATCATTCCCTTTTCCGTCAATGTAGCAGTCCTCTTAATGGAATTTGTTCTTTTTTTTTAGGTATGACCATTATTTAAATTTAATAAATAATAAAAATATTTTGAAAATCTATCCCAATAACGAAGTACTGACGCTATCCCAAAAAAAAAAATCGATTTTTTAAAAAAATACTAGCCAAATAAAGTTGAGAAATTTTACAAATGTTAAAATTCTGAATTTTTAGTGTACAATATAAATAATAAAAAAAATTAGAAAACGAAATTAAAACATATTTAAAGTCGCTTGAAATTTTTTCAATTCCCTGTTTTTAATTACAATCTTGACAAAAGATTTGAATTTACAAAGACAAAGTTATCCTCGTTGAAAAACACAATACAACAAATTAAAGAGAGAAACCCAAGACATCGAACTAGTAAGTAATACTTTAATTATACTTTTATTACTTTCATTATGTCTTAATTTATTTCTATAAAAATTTTAATGTTATTATTATTATTTATATTAGGATTAGGGTTTATTTGAAAGATAGAAGGAAATTATATAAACGTCAAAAGTCGTCAAATGAGTTAGTTATTTACGTAGTAATATTAATTGGTAAAATAAATAAAATTGCTTGAAACCTAATTATAGAATAATAATCATTGTCTATAGCTTGTGTTTGCGTTGTTGTGTTTGTCAAAAAACATAAATTAATTGCATTTAATAATTTGAAATTCAATGTAACATTTAAAAACCATATATATTTTTTATAAAGCATATTTATTTATGAAATGAATATAGAAAAAAAAATAAACTAAAAAAAAAGAATGGAATAAACAACATAATAACAAGCTTTAAAAAACAAGCAGTATATATGATACATGCAAGCGCGTTACCTTTGTTTCAAAAGTTGCATTTATAAAATACAAATAAACAAAATCTCTCCTAATATGGTATGCTCTATATAATTAAGTGTACGTACACTAAAATATATGATTAAGTGTACGTACACTAAAATATAAAATTAAGTATACGTGCACTAAAATATATTAATTCTTTCTTTTCTTTTAAATCAAATTCATCTCTCAATTCCTCGTAATTAAAATGAACAATCATCTAATGAATGACTTTCGATATTATCAGCAAACACCACTCACAATAACTGAAGCCTTAGAAATGTCCGGTCAAACTGGCATTATGACTACTGATAATGGACAAATGGTAAGTATCAAAAAATATACAAAATAAGCGGTGGAAATAAAAAATAAAGTTTGTTTACATTAAAAAAAAGTAAGAAGAATAAAATTTTTTTTAAAAAAAAAATGACTTACATAATTTGGAAGGTAACAACTTTCGCGATTGCAAAATTTATGGGTAACAACTTACACGCAATACAATTAGTGTGAACAGGAAAAGTCATTGTTAAAAAAAAAATGAATCGCATATAAGTGATTTGCAATGGGATTTATAGCTTTGTTTCTAAATTAGGTCAACCACAATAGAGATAATAGTACTACCAATGATAATACAAGCGCTGAATCTAGGCCTCCATTTACATATATTTCATTAATTGGCCAAGCTATTTTAGCCGCTCCTGATAAGAAACGTAAGTTAAATGAAATACGTGAATGGATCTCCAACACTTATCCATTCTATAAGATGGAAAATAAACGTTGGCAGGTATGTATAATGAAATTACAAAAATTCACAATGTTATCTAATTGCGCTAATAATATATCATTATTAAAAATATTAATAATATATTTATAGGATGCTATTCGACATAATCTAACCGAATGCCTCGCTTTTCGTCATTGTGAACGAGATGACGGAAAGAAAAGAAAGAATGACTGGATAATTTGCGATAAATATCAAGAATGTTTTGTCAATGGCAATTATCTTAGCCATAAGGCAAAAGAAATTAAAGCAAGTAAAGAAATTTTTGAAATCCAACAATTCGATGTTCAAGAACTGACGACAACCTGGAATCATTGCGCGGGACTTGACCTAACTTCATGTTCTGCTTTTTGTCATTGTGGACGAGATGACGGGACTCTTGATGAATCTTTCATCAATGGGATTTGTCCTAACTATAAGGCAAGTGAAGAAAATACTCTTGCCTTACGGTATGGAGAAACTATCAGCACCTCCAGTAGTGAAATCCAGCAATCGGAACTGACTCCTCTTTTTCAAGAATTTTTTCTAAATCCGATACAATTAATTTCTTGTTCTGAAAGCATACATAGATCTACACCTCAAGCCCCATATAATTACGTTAATATGGCCGAGGTTGAGAATATCCAAGATAATGGAATCTTTGAATTATGAAAATGATCAGCAAAATATTTATGATGATAGAAAATCGAAATCTGTATTTCCCCTCATACCAATTTTTATTTAAATCACTTGAAATTTTTTTTATTAACAACTTTAAGATTAGTTCTTTTTATTTAAATATTTACATTTCTATTTTAAATCTATAAAATTCATCTAATTTTAAGAAATTTTCTTTTTTTTTCAAGCTAAATAACTTCTGTGTTTAATTTCAAAATATTATTTTTGCGCCACCCTAAAATATGTTCAATTAGTCTTTCGTTCATATTGGACTAGCAATTAAAAGCTTGATACTATATAATTTTTTGTATAAAAATTTTTAAACGTTCGTTACTATTTGACTTTTAAAATTAAATTACGAAACAAAAATACTACGAATAATTTAAATATATAAATGAAATAAACGAAATTTTAATTCTGGTAATTAACTAAAGTTGGTAAAATTGTTTAAAATATTTGATATATTTGAATTCGATTATTGATTAATGATTTTATTCCAAGAATGTTCTCAGCGAATCAGAAAAATCGAGATTTCACTACTCTATACATTATATCTTGGAATAATTTTACCGTACTTATTATTTTTTTTTATTAATATAAATGACATTGAATAAATGCTATTTACTATGAATTCTTAACTCCAAAAAAAAATATTATAAAATTTACCTTTTAATTATTATTATTATCGTTATTTTTTACCGAAAAAGGTATATTTCTGCCAATAACATCAAGTTCGTCCTCAAAGGTGTTCCTTCATGTGCATCTATCACAAGAAGCTAAGATTATTTGCAAATTTACAAGCCGTCCACGGTCACGTTTTTGATGACTTATACTTCTTCAGGTTGTATGGTGTAGATGTGGTGGTTGTCAAGTTTCTTATTTGAAAAATCATACGCATAATTTTTTTAAATCCGTTTTTCAATCTCATTCCTTTTTCCTCCGATTTAGCAGTCCTCTTAATGGAATTTGTTCGCTTTGAGTCTTTCTTTTAGGTATGGTTATTATTTCTTGGATCGTAAAAAAAAATTTAATTACCGATCCGCCTAAGATCGGCACCATCGTTATTAAAATTCGGATAAAATTTAACGTTTCGCACACACTATAATCGTGAAAACTTATTTATATCTTGTGAAAATCATGCCATATATGTAAAAAAACTAAGGAGATAAAAAAAATGGCGTGAAAAAGAAGTTTACAAATGAAGCCAAATCTGACGAGCGTGCAATGTGTCATCAAATTTCACAATAGTACCGATCTTAGACGGTAATTAATAGTATAAATATTTTGAATATCGCTGACGCTAACCCTAAAAAAAATCGCTTTTTTTTTGATATAAAATACCAGCCAATAGAATAGATGTCTGAATTTTTATAATGTACAATATAAATAACAAAATCTGTCAGAAAATGAAACATATTTAAAATCACATGAAATTCTTTTTTTTTTAATTGACAATCTTAAAAAAATACATATATATCACTAAATATAAATTTGATTTACACCTTTTTGTTTATCCGCACCATCAAAAAATTCCACCATATGTCATTCTCAAATAAGAAAACGTCTAATGAAACTTTATTAGATTTATGGAATAACGGTATTCATAATGCAAAAGAACTTCATAAGCTAACAAACATTCCACTATCCACTATTTATGATAATATCAAAAAAATCAAAAAAATGGTATCGTGAAGCATGCTGGAGGAAACGGCCGTCCAAGAAAAGTTACCGGAAATGCGTCTCGGGCGCTTGGTCAATTTATAAGGAACAATACATCTATTTCCACGAGGACCTTAGAAAAAAAATTGATTAATATGGGTATTGAAGTTTCGTATAGAACAGTTGGAAGACACCTGGTAGGTATTGGGTATCAAAAAACTTCCAAAAGCAACGCCGATGCTAACCGAAGATCACAAGCGAAAACGTATAGAGTGGACAAATAAACATATTAATGAAAATTGGAATAAGACATTATTTATCGATGAAACAACATTCCAGCTTTTCAGAAATACTGTTGAACGTTGGTACAAAGGAGAACGGCCGGTACGCTTAATGCCTAAAGACCGAACAAAAATAATGCCGTGGCGTGGTTTTTGCGCAAAAGGTTTATTTTGCTTTAAACAAATAATGAACGCTGAGTTCTATGTAGAAATACTTCGCACACATGCTCCCGAAATCGAACAGATGCTTAGTCGTAAATGGCGTTTTCAGCAAGACAACGATCCCAAGCATACGAGTCGTTTGGCTAAAGTCTTTATTCAAGAAAATTTCCCGGAAGTCCTAGAATGACCATCGAACAGTCCGGATCTAAATCCGATCGAAAACCTATGGGTAATTATTAAAAGTAATGTAGAAAAAAGAATGCCAAAAAATATAAACGATCTTGAACAATTTATGACTGAAGAATGGCAAAAAATTCCACAAGCCGTTCTAATTAATCTCATAAAATCAATGAAGCGCCGTTGTGAATTAATTATTGAAAATAATGGTGAACGTATACCGTATTAATTTTTATTAATAAAGTTAGCTGATATTCAGCTTTAAAATACAGTAAAATTTCATGTGATTTGTAATAATAATTGTGCAATTGTAATGATTCCGGTTTTTTTTGTCCCACACTGTAAATTACATTCTTCACCAACTAAGACTATACGGCAAATTTTTTTTCATTATTATCAATATATTTATATCAATCCTTTGTATATACACAAGAACCCTTTTTCTTTGATGTTTTTATTATGATTTTTATTTCTTTATATAATTTATATTTTTTATTTTCATTTCTATTCTTGTTTGTTCATAACGATAATTATTTAAGAATTTAAAATCTAAAATATTCTTATTATTTATTGTTAATATCACCATTATTTATTATTTATTATTATTATTATTTTCATCACTATTATATTTTCGAAGCAAGGAATATTTGAAACCAATCTCAACAAATTTTGTATCCTATATTTAATTGTATCTACTCGTTCTATATTAGGTTAACTTTGTAAATCTGATCGTAGTTTGATAATTAAACCTAGAACTTTTCAAATTTCGATGCTAAATTAAATTTGAATAAAATATCACCTATAGGCTTTATATAATTCAATACAATACTCGTGACGTAATTATCCAATAATGACAAAGACATTTGTTAGTGGGATTATCAACCAATAAAAATAAAACACAATTAAATTTCAAACACATGATGGAAATTATTTCACGGGTATAAATGTTAGGTGACGAATATTATGCTTTTCGCTAGGATACAATATAATAAAAATTGACATTCGAAGGGTGTGACACACGATGATAAATACACTACCCTTGAGTATAGATTGAATACCACTTGTGATATAAAGTTTTCGAAAAAAAATGGTTTAATGGAAAAAAAGTAATGAAAGTAATGATAATAATGAAGAAATAACTTGGGATGCTCATGAAAGAGCTAATAATTATATTAAAATTTTATTGGGAATAATATTGAATAAAAAAAATTTAATTTCGAAATTCTCAAAATTATAATCATCCTGTAATGCCGGCCATAAACCACATGATATTTACAATTCAAATTTGGCACCCTAATATTAGTTGCTGACCAATAAATATATGTTATTTTGTTATTTTGATGAGAATAAATAAATGTAATAATAAATGGCTAGCATATACATATAAGGGTTCGGTAAAATAACTAGCATAAATTAGAGAATGGAGAAAGAGTGTGATATGCACATAAAAAGTGAAGTGTAAGCTATTAAAATGGTATTGACTGGATAATTGCTCGATAAGTTAATGCTAAATCATCAGAAAGATGATCCATAAATTCATTTTCGTCCATAGCAAGACGTTCATAGTCTAGGGTAAAGATAGGGAACTGATCGACGGTTCCGACATAATTACAATCATTACAATCGACGAAACAAAGAGAAGGAACTTTTTCTTTGAAACGGTCTTTAACCATTTTAGCTAACTGTTTGTAATATTCTTTTACATGTTGTGGTTCTTGTTTCCAGGAAGCAGTAGCATATGAAGATATATCTTTAAGTATAAAGTTATACTTTGTAACTATATGATTATATTCTTTTCTATATATCAAAAACGCGTTCATGGTTTGATTAGCGCTCTTAATTCCATTTCTTAAATGTAATTGTACGATCTCATCTACTTCGATAGATGGTGGAAACGGAATTCTTATGTTTGAAGTATTAGTATTTTGGTTATTAATATGAAGAGCCATATTTAAGTAAGAATTTTTTTTGTTCACAGATTAAAGATTTTTTGCATTTCGCTGAATATAAATATGTAAGTTTATAATAAATTTAAAATCCTAATATTGCAAATAAAACAGTTATGTTTATTTATTACTTGGACTTAAAGTCATATTTATAATCGGATTTCTTTTATATGTGTTATTGTCTCATACCAATCCAATTAAAGACCAGTCTGAGATTGAAAAAAGATAACATATCAGATTATAAACTATAACTACTATTCCGACAACGGGTGGTGATTTTAGATAAGATAAAAATGTTTGATCAAAAAGTTACACTTACACATAGAGTCTATATTTATATGTACATTTAAATTGTTTTTGTAAAATCATATGATACAACAATATATGTAACAGCATATGATATTTAAATATGAGATAGAACCTAAGAATATTTAACTCGGATTTATGCCATTTACGATTACGATTACAAAACTTTTTTCACAATTAATTTAGCTATCAAAAAAATTGAGATAATTATTTCAATAATAATAGCATAAATAAAAAAATTCTTGTTATTTAACTTGAATATTTCTTTCATTCATTTACTTTTTATATCAAGTACTACAAAACAAAATTTATTTGTCTGACAAGCAAAGATTATTTACTCAGTATAACCGATCCATGTCATTTTACACGAAAGATAAGATAACGATTGATTTGATTATTTTAAAATAGAACAGAAAAAAGTCATGTGGATTTACAAGGATATATATTGTTATTGTTAATCTTATAATTGCAAAATGATATTGATAAGAATCAAGAGATAAATGGAAATAATATTTCTCCATAAAGTTTTATTGATATTACTTATTATATTGATACATTTTAAATTCATGCCAATTTTATTATAAATTAAAAATTAAAATTAAAATTATTTTCTATACTGTTTATATATTGCATATTTTATGTATTGTAATAAAAGTTTTAAATGACGGAGGATTATTTATCAATATATATGGTAAAAACGGACAGATGTCTAAATGTGATATATCTAAAAGAATTGTAATATAGCCACGATAACAAACAATTAATGCTACATACATTCTTATTGATGTTTGAACTTTTTAAAAATAGAAAGACAAATAAATGAACACACATTGCACAAGCCTGATTTCCTCAATTCTTGTTTCATTTAAATTCTATATATGTTTTAGCAAATTATTGAAGGTCTAGCCTATCGTTCTCCCGGAAACGAATTGACAGCTCGTCGGTCTGTCTCGGAAACAGTTAAACATAACAAATGATCATTTATTAGTTAGTGCCCGATTGTAGAAATTGACTAATTAAATGAGGTCCCGTTAGTCGTTTAAAAAAAATTGACTGATAATCTGTTACACAAAAGCCATTTTTCTTTAGGTCATAAATATTCATAATTACTATAGGTCATATGGTCATAATTTATAATTGATGAGTAGGTCATAATTAGGTCATGGCCAACACTGTGTTGATAAAATTTATAGACAACAACTATTAATAAAATTATTCTTTATGCGCAAAGTAAACAGATTACGAGAAAAAATAAACATCTGAAGTAAAGTTTTTTCGAAAAAATAATTAAAATTATGATTGGCTATGAGGACATCACATGATCGATCTCCAATATGGTGTTGATGTCATCTGTTATTGTCATAATAATTATATTTTTCGTTTTGAGTCCACATAAAAGTAATTTATTTTCATACTTTTAACGAGTCCCCAAAATAATAAAATATTATACCGTTATACTATTTTATGTACATGGATCAAATTGTAAATTAAAATATTTATAGATCTGTAGAATTTTATTTATGAAATCGTTTTTTGATCAAAAACATCTATTTCATTTTATTCGGAATTCTTTATGGATTAATGGATTAATTATGAATTAAATTAAATTTATTTTCGTTAATTATTTAAGCCTAAAGATTTTGTTTAGGTACCCTAAAAAATTAAATATCAAAGACAACTTCTTCTTATTATTTAAATTCATAGGTGACGAATTCCTTTATTAAAATTTTATAATAAGGTTATGATAGCCATTGTAATTTTATATCACATACATTATAGTCATCGTCTAATCCGATATTTCTGTTATTAATATAATTATTGTTATTTTTTATTAAATGATCACCAAGCAATTAATAACGAGCATCGTAAATAAAATAACTGGGCAAACGGACATTCAATACGAGCATCAACGTTACCATGATAAACTCAATTTTATAATGACCGTAATAAACTTCATGCTGAAAATAAATTATATAGATTAAACTTTTTTTTTTCTTTTCTTTCTTTGCTTGACGACAGCTAGATATCCAATGATCTTTTTTTTTTCAGAATCATCATTGAAGATAATAAAAATGTAAAGAAGTGAAACTCTTTACTATAATTATAATAAGACTACATAATAATAAAATATGTTTGAACGTCGTTTATAATATTCTTGAAATACATAACATTTAATCATACATTTAATCATGCATACAACCATTTATTTAATTATGAAATACCAGATTTTGTATTTCCTACGTGAAAAAAAAAAGATTTATATTTTATATTTTATATTTTATTTCATTTGTTTCGTACTCCACAATTTTTTTATATAAAAAAAATTTTTATTAATAAATCATAATGAATAAAATGAATAAATTAATTTGTATGTCAAAGATACTCTCTTGCTATCTGGAGCGAGCAAAACTAACTCAATATTTAAACTTAAATACACACAATGTAATTTTTTTTTTTTACATGACCTGTATTAATATTAAATATAAAAAATTGATTTATTTAATTGGATTTGATTATTTTGATTAAATTATTTTTAAATAAAAGTGTAGTGTAATATCTATGAATCTTACTTTTAATTGTGAAATGACAAGTTCAGTATTGTTTTTAGATTAATTGTATTCTACGAATGTGTGTCTAATGTTTTAGATTATTTTTATTTAGTATTAATTATATTATTTCAAATTATTTCATGAATCAAATTTTCAAGTACGTATATTCAAGATATATAATAGCTAAAACTCACCAGTGATTGTCATCACCAGGCAAAATTACATAATTCTCTGATCAACCCTAACACTAACTTTTCCACGTAAATTTAATTTGTTCAGTATGATAACAAAAAAATTGTTTTTTTATTATATTTTTATTATTTTATTATTTTTTTTATTTAATATTTTACATTATAAACTAAAATGTATTATTCAATACATATTTAAAAAATTACTTTTTTCACTTTATCTTTAAGATCAAGATCAGTTTGTAGTTAATTAGATTTAGGATTGGATTGGATATTTTAGGTATTATCCCTTAGAATACTTATTTATTTTTCTTAAAAAAGAAATATTTTTAAAATATATAATACTTCTTCCGATCTTTCACCAGAGAGTTCACTTTCTTGATTAGGCTATTTTTTTCCGTTTAATTAACTCATTTTTTTTGTTTCTTTAGAAAATTAATGAAGATCGAAGTCATTGTAAAAGTTGAAATTGGCAACAAAGAAAGAAAAAACGGATGGAAATAAAAGGAAAGGGAATTATGAAATAATCTATTTTAATTAACTTAACTATTTCTTTTATTATATACTTTTATATTGAAACTTTTTATATCATCAATCCTATTTAATCACAGACTTTATATACTTTAGTAACTCCGCTTACTATATTTAATTTTTTAATTATATAATATACAAATATTTTTTAATTAAAAAGACAACCAACCGAGAAAATTTTTATTTACTTGTTTAAAATGACAGCAAAGAGATAAGTACATTTTCCATAGCCAATAAATTATGAAGTAAACTATTACGTCTCAAATGTTACTTTCATTTTAATAATCAATTTATTTCTATTAATAAAATAATTTGTCCGTAATTAAATTTTTGAATGACAGGACCGAAGAATATAAATGATTCATATTATATAACAGGAAAAAAGGAAAGATCTAATATTAATACCCGAGTTTTTCGCTCATATAGGAATAACTAATTTTATAAACGTTATAAACGTTTATATCCGAGAGAATCTATCAATTAATTTCCTATAACATTTTTCTATTAATAAATTGGAATGGATGGGATTATAATCATAATAAAAAATTAATAGTTTTTATATTTTTATCTATTTCAAATATAAAATTTGTAAAAATAAAAATAAATGAAATAATATATTATCTATACAAGTAATTTTTAAAACTTTGAAAAACTTTAAATAAACCAATTTTTATTTTTTAATATTAAACAGTTATATTACAAAATTTTAAATGATAAAAATAATAAAAATAATAAAAATGAACAAATTTAATTTATTTATTACTACTAAAAATTCGTGAGTACATATGTTGAGAAAAATGCTTGTTTTTCAATGTGTTTGTAAACTAGCTTTGCGAAAATTAATATTTAAATAATTTCAGACTTCCTGGATAACTTTACTTAATCACTCAAAGTCAGTTTACTTTTACTAAAATACTTAAAAAATATTGTACAAAGTTCTAGAAGTATGAAGAATATCTATTTTTCTATATATTTGTAATTTACTGTAGCTAAAAATATTTGTAAATTGTTGTAAGTAATATTTTAAGAAAGTAAAGAAAACAAAAATATATCCCTATATCTATTATTTACAATTATTATTTATTGTTAATATCACTATTATTTATTATTTATTATTTTTATTATTTTCATCACTATTGAAGAAAGAAATATTTGAAAATATCTACAGCTCGAGTCACCTGATCCCAACAAATTTTGTATCCTTTCTATACTAAGTAAACTTTGTAAATCCAATCGTAATTTGATAGCTTAAATCTTGAACCTTCAAAATTCCGATGCTAAAATTAAATTTTGATTATAATATAAAAAGGTATTTTCCCCTTTTTTTTAAAAAGTAATGTTATATAATAAAATATCAATTTTGACTCCTATAGGTTTTCTAATAAATTAATGCCTGTGATATAATTATCAATAAAATTAATTGTTATGAAAAAAAAAATGTTTTAATGAAAGAATGTAATGAAAGTAAAGATGATAATAATGAAGAAATAACTTGGGTTGCCCCATTAATTGAATGAAAGAGCTAATAATTATATTAAAATTTTATTGGGAATAATATTTAATAAAAAAAAATTAATTTCGATTAAAATTTAAATTCTAATTTTGGTCAAATTATAAAATTCATCTTGTAATGTCGGCCATAAATCACATGATATTTGCAATTCAAATTTGGGATTAGCTGACAACATCGTAATTATATGTTATCATTTTTTGTTTCCGTCATCTCTAAAATAACTTGTCGTAATCTAACTTTGTTTTACTAAAATAAAATATTTAATATGTTTTTTTTTCTTTATTACAATACTTGACTATTTGTTTATTTATCTGACTATTCCTTAAAACTTTCGTTATAAAAAAAGAATAATAGTTAAATTCAATTTCTACTATTTCTACTAAATATGGTACATACTGTGTTCAATTTTTAAAAGTACTTATTTCATTAGCATTTAAAGTCTAATAATTGTCTGATAAATAAGGTTAGTATTAAATAAATTCCAAATGTAATAAATATTATACAATAATTATGCTATGCAAATACCAAAAAAAATGAGAATAAATAAATATAATAATAAATGACTAGTGTATATAAGAGTTCGATAAAATAACTAGCAAAAATTAGAGAATGGAAAAAGAGTGTGATATGTACATAAAAAGTGAAGTGTAAGTTATTAAAATGGTATTGACTGGACAATTGCTCGATAAGTTAATGCTAAATCATCAGAAAGATGATCCATAAATTCATTTTCGTCCATAGCAAGACGTTCATCAATACAATTATAATCCATATTAAGAATTAAACTATCATAGTCTAGGTCCATGTTTAGGATAGGGATGCGATTGATATTTGTTCCGGTTCCAACATGATTACAATCGATGAAACAAAGAGAAGGAACTTTTTCTTTGAAACGTTCTTTAACCTTTTTAGCTAACTGTTTGTAATATTCTTTCACATGTTTTGGTTCTTGTTTCCAAGAAATGCTAGCATATGAAGATATATCTTTAAGTTCAAGATTATAATTTTTATAATTTGTAACTATATGATTAAATTCTTTTCGATATATAAAAAACGCGTTCATAGTTCCGTTAACGTTCTTAATTCCATTTCGTAATTGTAATTGTACAATCTCATCTATTATAATAGATGGTGGAAATGGAACTTGTATGTTTAGGTTGTTAAGATGAAGAGCCATATTTAAATAAGAATTTCTTTGTTTAAAGGATAAAGATTGTTTACATTTCACTAAATTATAATCAATAAATTTATAAGAAATAAATTTATAATAAATATAAATAAGATTAAATAATGATATAGCGAATAAAATAGTTTGGATTATTCATTATCCGGATTCAAATTGTATTTATATTATACAATTAAGGAAAGAAATCAGATTGCTTTTATATATGTGTTCTTATCATCATCATCAAATTCCGGCTATAAAAATAAATTATTTCCGTCGACCAGTTTGAATTATAAGATTGAAAAGGATAAGCATATCAGATTAGAAAAATATTTATAGTAATAGTAATATAAGTAGGACAAGTAAGACTTTTACGCCATTATTCCGTTTAATCATTATCTTTTATTGCTTGATTTTATTGATTAGATAAAAAATGGCTGTGAAATTTCGACAATGTTAATGTATTTTTAATATCAAGTAATTGAATGAAAAGCAAACAACTTTCGGGGGTTACACATCTACAATTTTGTAAGATCATAAAATACAACAGAATTCAGATTTATATCATTTTGTTATATTTACGATCACAGACATATATTTACTTTTTTTTTCACAATTAAATTTAGTTATCAGAAAATCGAGATTATTGTTCAAATAATAATATTAAGAAATTCTTGTTATTAACATGTACAAGAATCATTGCTCTTTCATCGATTTACTTTTTACGTATATTCTGTACCACAACATTTTAAAAACAAATTTATTTGTCTGTCAAATGATGTTTAATGCGTAACAAATCCATGTCATTTATTTCATACAATGATAAGATACCGAAAAATTGGACGCAATATTGGCATACAGAAATTATAAAAATAGAACTTTAATAATTAATTTAATGATTAAGTAGATTTATAAATATAATATTGATAAGAATCAAGAGGCAAATGCAAAGAATTTTTTCCAATAAAGTTTTGGGATGTATTTTTTTGTTTATTTTTTTTTTTATTTTTAAAGCATAGATTAAAGGAGTTTAATATGTAAACTTGATATTTTAAAGTGCTAGGCATTGATGTCACTTATTATATTGATACATTTTAAATTCACGTCAACATATTGATTTTATAATTTAAATTTGAATTTAAATTTATTTTCTATAATGCTTACATATTGCATATATTGTAATAAAAGTTTTAAATGACGGATTTGTCTAAATAAAAGTGTAATTTTACCACGAGTTCTTCTAAATATGGTTAATCAAATTACATCTAAAATCATACAAGATTATAAGATTATTAGACTGCGCAAGTGTAGCCACAAGATTGAGCCACGATAACAAACAATTAAATGGAAAGACTTACTAAAATGGGTAAAATGCGTTAATGCTACCAAATATTACGTCACATATATTTTCATTTACCTATTGATGATATATATTTTCATTTCTATTTTTTAACCTATTGATGTTGAACCCTTTTTAAAAATAGAAAAACCAAAATAAATGAACACAACGTAAAAAATAAAGTTTCCGTTAGGCGTTAAAAAATCTGACTTGTGCAATAATAAAACAGGAAAAAATTGGCAGCTTATCGATCTGTCTCGGGTTTATTCATATATTAATACGTGATGAATATCAATAATGTATACAAAAAAGAAAAGAAAAAAATATAATGTCTATTTTTTTCAGCCTTAAAGTCAAATTCAAAGATTTTGTAATATTCACTAAAATTATTTTACTGTATTATGTTATTCATTACAAAATAAACAAAGAATAACGTGGTAGATAAAATTAGTCTCGGTATTTCGTTTCACTACTTTTTTCTTGAAAAAGCATATTTAAAACATAATAAAATATTAAATATAGAGAACTATAACTGCAAATCATAAAACTTTAATGTATCTGTTTGAATGAACCCTTGTTCCTTAAATGTTGAAAATTCTAAAAAAAAAATTTTGCCAAGTAGTAAACAAAAAAGTTTATTAAACTAGGAAACGGTGAGTCCGGAGTGAAAATCACATGTGAAAAGAACGTGACTGATCAATTGTAGAAGTATAATGTCCTACGTTACACTCCGGACAATACAATAATAGGGCGATTTTTCCATGCACAAAGAGCCCTGAAATTTTCTTATAAAAAGAGTGGGTTTTGGCTTTTTATGGACAAAAATAAGTTATTATTTAATTTCTAACATCGTTCATTCTTCTCAACAAATTCGTCGCTATAAATCTTTCTCCCACGCCAGACCCGATTGGAATTGCTCTTACCGTAGTCGGCGTTGCTTGCTAGGCCGCTAATTTGGTTGTTTTAATTGTTAATGGCAAATGAGACTAAAAAAATTTTTATATGTATCACATACCAGCAATTATTAGGTAAATTTAAAACTTTTTTTTTGTCTTTTTTAGGTTCTCCGCTTAATTACATAATTCCAAATTTTTGATTCTTTCACTGTAGGTCTTCTCGTTTTAAACAGATCCTAAGGTTGATCATGAAAGAAGTGAATCCTGTCAATACTTGAATGTTTTATAATAAATGTCATCATTTTAAAATTCTTTAAATTTTGAAATGCATTATTTTTAAAAAATTAAATGATAAATAAAATAGAAATGAGTTTTTTAACCAAGAAGCTTTGGATGTTATAAGATAATTTCTAATTTCACAGATAATTCAACTTACATTATTTAACATCTGAAGTTAAGTAGGGGTTTTAGACCTAGGTTGATGGGTTTTCAGTTACCTACTAGTAATCTAGTTTACGTTTGAACATTATTTATTTAATAAAATACTTTTTAAAAACATTAAAATATGTAAAATTTTGTATTGAGTATTTTTGCTTAAAGGCCAGAAAAGTAGTTGTCTTAATAAAATATTAAGATAATTGAATATTTTATATTTTCGAAAAAAAATCAATCGAATTATAATTGGCTAAAAGGGGCATCACATAGGGGACTTTCACAATCAGCGGATGTGTTAACAATAAAGGTTATACAGTACATATATGCTTTATTACAGTATCGCTATTTATTGTATTTATTGGCTCGGAATACTTTATTAATATTAATAAATATTTATAGAAATTAAAATTATAACCTTGAACTAAAAAAATTATTATCAAGAGGGGCTACATATTTAGATATGAGCCGTTGGTATGATTCTAAACAGGATAATCGAATTGCAACTTCCCAATTGGAAATCGAACGGAGCTTTACTGTAAACTAAAATTTTAGATGAGCACTTAAATTAGGACCAAAAAATGTAAAAAATTCGAATTTTTATCGAAGAAAACGTCATTATGAAGATGCTTCGAATTTGCTTTTACCCTCGACTCTTACAACATGAACACATTATTACTTAGGGCTGACATTAATTCCTCATTGAAAAAAATATAGCTATTCATCCATGGATTTAAACGATGCTATGATATACAAATTTCGCTTTGACTTCTCGAGAAGAATTATATCTTAAACTTAAACGACATGACAACGTTTTAACGGATATTAATACAGCATTGAAAATTAAAGCAACAAACATGAAGTTCAAGGTAACGTATATAAAAATCAACACAAATATCAAGAAGCTCTTGATTAGTTTAATAAGTCTTTAGGAATATATCCTCAATATCAAAAACGAGGAGGAGATGATGATGGTAACTATTAAAATTAATTCAAAGAAATACTCTTGATATGATGAAAAGAAATTTCTCTGTAATTCATTTCAAAAGAGGCAATATTTACGAATTCCTCGAAGGACATATCGCAATCTTCAAAAAATGAGCATGTATTACATAAATTAGGAATACATTAATAAATATTTAAAAGTATCATCGATATCCTAAATAATTAGACTTAAAAAGTGAAAATTTTAAAGATAACAGCGGCAAAACAGGTAAAACACATTTATCACTAATATTACCGATGAAATCTCTTAAGCTGGGACGTTTTCATTATCAAAAGAATCAAGTTTTGATTATATAGAAGTGGAAAGGGTTAATAATTTATTAATGGTGATTCCAAAAACGACTTGATAAAAAGTACCAAAAACTGAAGCAGCAAAAAGAAACGATGACAATTTCAAAAAAATCATCATCGACAATAAATAAACAATTCCAAAAGTCTATACAGCGATTTTTCGTTGTGGTGATCAGTTTTGAACAGGATTTCTTTAGTGGTTTTAATTATTCTGATGTTGAAAAGATCGAATATGTGAATGTGTTTTGCCTTTTATTATTGTATATAAATAAACAAATCATAGCATTTCTTAAAAATATTCAATCAAGAAACTTACCTTTCCTTTTCCTTTTTTTTTGCTTTTCTAACTTTTTTTTCGATCGATCAATTCCCACGATTCTAAACGTTTAAATCATATATATTTCAATCCATACGTACACATAAATATAATTCTTTTCGCGGTGTAATTTAAAAGGTGATAGAAATAATTCATTCACACAATATTTAAATATATTTTTAATTATTATTATTATTAACATTATTTATTCTTTAATTTATTTATTAATTTATTATTTTATAGATTTTAAAATTTTTGATGATTTTGAAGTTGTAAACTTCCAATATATTGTTATAAAGAATTTTCAGACACACGATTATAATTAATTATAAGTAAACATGACTGTAAAATCTTTTATGATGGGAATTTTTTTATTAAAATAATCTTTTTTCCATAATCTGAAAATCATATCCAAAGATCTCTCGCTTGCTATCTTATTTACAAAAGCAAGGTAAAACAATATTAATCGTTCAGAAATTTATATTATCATTAATGAATTTTATTAAGTATAAAAATGACAATAAATAATAACGATTATTATAGAATGATCCCAGCTAACTAAAAAGCACAAAAAGAAAGAAAAAAGAAAAATTTAACGTAATAAACTATCATAATAAAAAAGGCTAAAGAAATTATTATCGATCATAATGATTGAAATAAATCAAAAAAAAAAAAAAATTAGAATACACATCAAATACATCAATTCTTGTCACATACCAGTTATTGAATTATATAACAATTCCCATCATTATAAAATTATCAACTCGTTTTTCAATTTTGAGATGTGAAGCCAAGAGGGAATCTAGGTCTTGATCTTGTACAATCATTTTTGGGTTTAACTCCCAGAGGTAATTCACGAACTTCGGTATCAATTTTCATCAAAATACATGTTCGGTGATTATCGACATCAGCCATAATGGTACTCAAATATTTTGATGGCTTGTTATTCATTTGTTCTTGGAGCTTTATGCATTCCATCAATCGATTTATCCAGTCAGAATACTCGTCTCCGTTAATGTAAACGTTATAACTCAAGAATCTCCAGAACGTTAACTGCATCTTATTAATCTCCTTTGATGGAAGTTCTGTAATTTTGGCCCAAGTTTCAATTGAATATTTGATATCGTTTACATATTTATCTGCTAGGATTAATGAAATTAAAAATAATCTCCCAATTCCAAAATCTATTGCCTTAGCACATTTAATATATCTTTGAATATATTTGAGAGCAACGAACACAGTAACATGTGATAATTGCGTTATGCATAATATCTAAAATTTTAAATAAAGCGCAATTAAAATATTGCTTAATTTAATGTTATATTACTCTTACGTCCGTTTTATTTTTCGTTTGTTCAAAGGTAGTATACAAGATTTAGATTTGTGGCGCTTACCCCAATACAAAAATTTTTATATTTTTCATTTACTTGACATTTAATAGAATCTGATCCAGTCCAGATTTTATACATTTCAAAACTAATGACGGAAGCAAATTCTCCTAGTTCGGTTGGTCCGGAAATAGGCATCTTTTTTAATTGTTGCACATTTGGAACTAAAGATACGACCTTCTTACTATCGAAGAATATTTGTGTAATTGGACCCAACATATTGGAATATACCGAAATGACTAAATGAAAAAAAGAGAATTCATTAGTAAAGAAAGTTAAAATCGAAAAGAAAACTCAAAATGAACTTGAAAACTTAAAAATAATCGAGATAATAACGTTAGATTTTGGAAATGAATGTTAGTGAAAAAGAATTGGGTTGAAAAAAAGTTATCAAAAAAATTAATTAATATATTAACTAAAAAGGTAACGATCTATAATGTTACGATAATCACCTGATAAATAAACTTCTTTACTAATCATGTGATGTTTACTTCAAAATTTTATTATCTAGGGTGAAAGTCCTTACCTTGGGTACATTTTAAGGATCCTCTTTTAATCTTTATAATTTAAAATCTTTGGTCATTTTTTTATAAATAAAAACTTAATAGAACAAATTACGGAACAATTGAAACTCGAAATATTAATTATATACAGTATAGTATAAGTTATTACAAAAATAATATTCATTTTGAGTATATATAAACTGATCATAAAGTTGTCTTATTGTTATAAGTAATTGGTCCAATCTATCTTTGATTTTATGGAAATAAATCTATCGAATCTATTGAATATAAAATAAATCTATTACAACTTTGATAATTGAATGATACTTTGATATTATGATATGATAAAAATTTGAAAGAATATCAAAATTTTGATAGATTTGAATTTTAATTGTATTAATAAAAAATCAGCAAATCTCAATTATGATATATTGTTAATGATTAATTTTTCACTCAAATTAAATTATAAAAAAGCTTCTGGAAAGAATAAATTCTTATAATCAAGATTTTATTTGAAGATTTAAAGAATATAGTATCGTTATATTTGATAAAGAAAAGATGAAATTTTCTAGAAAGTATATGATTATATGATATATATATATAATAATATAAGTTTGTACAATCTGTCCTTGATATAACGTTTGACGCGATATTTACCTTCGTTATATCGAATCAATTTCCTATTATAAAAATTTTTGTGTTACTAAAATTTTTGTATTACCGGTACTTTTATTTCTTTAAAGCCATTAATTTTTCCAGATATAACTCTGAAATTTTTTTTATTAATTAACGAAACCATATTTAAAAATAACACGTCTTTGCAAATCGTGCTATATATCTTTCTCTCCTAACACTTTTACAACATAAATACTATCAATGCAAAACTTTACTTCTAATAAAAGAGCAACAAAATCAATGACACATATTTTGGGCGAGCTAGTTGTCTTTAAGATGAAGGGTATGAAAAAATATGGCAGCTACATACATTTTAAAAAAATTCTGTACTGAGGTATTTTTTCTTTATTATATATGTCTTCATAAAGTCGCAAATAAATATAAACTAACATTTTCTTTATAATTCTAGATAATACCAAAATCTCCAATATCCGAAACGACCGTCTTGTCGTTAAAATATGTACAAAGGTACAACAAAAAAAGGAAGTAACACTTTACCAACGAGTATCAGCTCTTCACTATCATTCTTATGTTGGCAAATAAATGGCACAATGATAAGGTATATGCAAACAAGACCTGGACGATATTGACGCTTTAGAGATTTCATTTCTGAAATCTTTAATTTCAAGATGAATATTACCGGAACAAAATATTCATTTTGGCTTAACTGCTTAAAAAATTATCATCTTACTGGTAAACTTGAATACCTGTTTTCCAAAAGAATTGGGAAGACGGCTACCTTTCTACCATCTCTACCGAAACCAGGTTTTCATTACGAACAGACAATCTATGCAAAGGCCATTCAACCCCCGGTTGGATGGTTGGATGGTTGGATTTGAACGTAATGTCGTTGTTTCTCATTACATGAAAGAATATAAATTATCCGAGTAAACTGATTGTGATTTTAAGATTTCTATGTTGTTGATTGACCGTTGTTATTATGATATAAAATAATTATATTAAATAAGTATCGGATTATTAAGATGGTAAAGCTATAATAAGAGATCATAAGTAATTAGTCGAGAGAGATTAATTTAGATCTTATAGTTATATCGTTCAATTTATATTTTCTTATTAATTAGCAATAATTTCAATTTATTTCTATTTCCTTTTGTAAATAAAGTTAATTTTTGAAAAAAAAATCTATTTTTATTTTAAAAAAAATATACTTGTCATCGCTGGTGATAGTCACCGTTAGGATCAGGGAATTATATAATTTTGCCCAGTGGTGACAATCAAGTTTTTTTTTTATATTTCGTTTATTTCGTTCGAAATTTATAATATTATTTTTTGCGGCGTGATAGATTATTATCAAGAAAAGTAGAAAATAACAATTAATTATCGAGAAAAAGTAAAAAGAAAGAGATAATCAATGACACATCGACTGAAGTAGAATAAACTTAAGTATTAGTGTACTGTATTAATTTTTTTAGATTAAAGTTTTTAAAAGAATGTAAGTCGTAATTAATTCACACTTGTTAGCGAACATCATGTGTTATCATTAACGAACATGTTATTTTATTATTATTATTTTTTACAGATATACACGATGTACTGTACGATGTACGATTATAAAATATATGTATATATAAATGAGCAGAGGTCAGTACTTTCCAGAAAGAAGAAGGTTCAGATATTTCGAGGTAATAAAATAATTAATGATAAAAAAAAATAATATCAATAATAAAATTGTCATTATTAAACTAATACCTATTTTTTTAATATAATAAACAATTATTTAAAAATAAACTCGTAGAAATCAATTTTTTACCATCCTTTTACTTGGAATCTTTCTTTCCTATGATAAAATCGATACATTGATTAATAATATCTTATATATATTCAATCAACGTTGATTTTTAATGTTGAAGTTGGCCGTTATTTTCAAAAAATAGATTGAATGAACAAAAATTCATTTCTATCAAAATATTCAATATTACACCTTTTTTACTATTTTTTTAACACATTTATGTAGAGTAATTTCGAAAAATTAAATGAATTATTTGAAAATTTTTTCAAATTTATCAAAAAAGCTATCGAGTGGAAAATTTATAGTTCAAGTAATTTTTGATTTAGAAAATTTTATATTTCTTCCGAAGGTGCATTAATTTCTATTATTAAAAAAAAAAATTTATTAGGAGTATTAAATAAATTTGTTTATTATTTTTTTGATAATATTATCAACTTCTAAATTTTCAATTATTTTTGAGATTTTTTATTTCATATTAGGTTGGTAAAGCAACATAAATATGCCGCAAACAATTTAGATTATTTATGATGCCCCTCCCTCGTAATACGTGTTAGTTTCAGCGTTTGGAACACTTCAATAGAAAAACCCATATGCGATTGGGTTTTAAAAGTAAACTTGTGAATTAGATAAAAGCATAGAAGAATTATCTATAGTCAAGATAGTGCATATCCTTTAAAAACTGAAATTGTAAAAATCTCTATTTTTCAAAAATTATTGATATTCTATTAATGTAATACGTCATAACGTGACGTGTTTAATTTACGAAAAATTTGGATTTATTTATTTATTTATAAAAATTAAATAAATATTTTATTACAAAAGAATCCATAATGACTTTATGCAGCTGTCTACTTTGTCTGCTGCAATTCGTCCTTGTGTTCCAAGAAAAACTCTTCTACCGTTTTCGGTTTCCACTTTTCAATATCAGTTGAATGAGGACTAACATAATTAAACTTATCCTCCTTGATTAATTCAAACAAATGAGAAACAGTACTAGCCTCAACTGGTGAAGTAATACTTTCTTTAATATGTTCTTCCGTAACATGAGAGGGATCTGAAGATGGCTTATATTTTATTTGATAACCAAGTGCTTGAGAGAGACCATGGGCCAAATTTTCTCCAGATGTAAGTTCATGACCTGTAACAGTATAAGTTTTAAAATAATACTTCTCGGATTTCTCGATTATTTCGGCTGCCACTACTCCTACCTATAAAATAATTATGTAAATAATTATAAAATATAAAATCTAGAAATTTAGAAATTTAGAAATTTTATAAAAATGAAAAACATAGCAACATAGTTAAGATATTTACGTCTTCAACTGCAATTGGTGCAAACTGGCAATAAAAAATAAAAATAAAAAAAAAAAAAAACCAATAATATGTATTAATCTTTCCGTTATAAAAAAGAAACTCAAAAATTGGTTAAAGAAACCATATTACTTTTCCGTCCCCGATAGGCAAATCCAATATTCCTTTTTTGATACAATCCTTAAAAGCCAATAAATAATGATCATATACCCCAGTTCTTAAAATTGTCCTTAAATTGAATCAAAAAAAAATAAATTATTCAACAAAATAATCTAAAACAATTAAGAGAAATAAGAAAGAAATAAGAGAGATTATACACCAGTTACGATGAGTGTGTTCAGTTCCGATACACGCTCTTTCTTTCCATTGATTGAACTTAGCTTCGAGTTCACCAAATTTTTTACCGACATAATCCTTCCTTTCATCCGCCATGACAACAGACTGTAAGAGTATAAATGGTACTTTGTCCCTTAAGGCTGCTTCGAGGTAAATAAATCCTGCATCTAATCTCTCAGGATGTAAAGTAATCATTAATTTTTGAACATCATCATTAAATTTGATATTGTTTGGATCATCAATTATATAGACATTAGCGCCATAATCAGCTAATTTTTTACGAATTTCATCAGAGGCTTTACGACTCACACCAGCAGTAATTCTTATACGATGAGATGAATGAACAGAACCATAATTAAATAATGCTCTAACTGTAGCGAGACCAGTAGGACGATCTGCTTCAAGGATATAAATTGAATTCCGTGCCATATTTTCACAGTTCAAAAATACAAAAAGCGAATAAGCAAAGAATGTTTATCTTATATATGTTTAAAATTTTACATTTAGCTCTGATTTTCATCATAAGTATGTTAAATAATTACGACACGGTTTTTATTGATTACCATTTTATGATGAAATCTATCTAAACTTCTTTAGTTAGTTAAGATCGTGTAAATCATATACATCATAATTTAATTTTATTTTTAATTTTTACTAAAAAAGGATATCAAAACATTATTTTTTAGTCCAAATCCAAGAATTTCCACAACCTGCACCGATTCCTTTTATAATAGTATTTTCAGGAATTATACGAATTGGCATCCATTGATCAATATTATTACCTGTACCACAATTTCCATGTTCATTCCAACCCCAAGCAAAACATTCATAAAACTCACCATTCTTTTTTATGCATAAAGAATGTTCTGATCCACACACAAAATCTTTGATTTCTACATCTTTTGACAAAGAAGAGAGTGTATGTGGAAGAAAATACAATGGGATTGGCTTGGAAACCCATCCTTCCTTTTCGTTTAATGTGTCATCAATTTCGTCGAATTCATTTTTCTTTCCCAGCTGTCCATGATCATTCCGACCCCACATAAATAATTTATTATAATTATTATTATCTTCGCAAAGTACCAATGTATTATTCCATCCACAAGATATTTTTAAAACACTTCCAGGAAGATTGAAAACTTTTCTCGGAATCTCGCAATTCTGAATTTTCAAGGGTGATGCGTATCCAAGTTGTCCACATTTGTTGAGTCCAAAAGTGTATAAATCTCCTCCTTGAGTTAAAACTGCAGAATGATTTTGACCACATGCAACATCTATGATCTTTTCTTCCTCATTAATCTGTTTGATTTCTATTCGCGTAGGTGTAAAATAACAATAATTGTCATTTTGCTTTTTCTTTTTTTCACCTTCTTTCAGATTCTTTATCAATAATCCTAATTGACCATATCTATTACTTCCCCAACCATAACAAATTCCTTCTTTAGTTAATCCTATACAATGACGTAATCCGCAAACAACCTTTTGAAAGTTCGTTATTTCTGAGATCTTAAAAATTTGATCATTTGTTGTTTTAACATTTTTTCCACATCCCAACTCTCCAAAATTTCCTTTACCAAATATATATGATGTTCCTTTTTGTGTTGTAGCAATTGTGAAAGTCCATCCACAAGTTACGTGATGCCAATTTATCTTTGATGATGATGATAATTCTTCAGGTAAAATTAATCTATGATAAATATCTATAGAATCTGACTTTTCTTCAGTATTAATAGAAATATTATTATTATTATTATCAGAAGTTATAAATGAACTACATTGATAATGATTATTTAAACCGCACATCCATAATTCACCGTTATGAGTAATTATTGCAGAATGATTTCCACCACCAACAATAATTTTTGGAGGAAAATCAAAAATATCTTTGGGATTATTTGAAAAAATACAACGAGTTGGAAGGTTTGAGTCACTTTTAGAACCAATTCCTAATTGTCCAAAAGTATTTGATCCGAAGGCAAATAAATGATTATTAAAAGAAGTAAACGTAGCAGCAGTTTTATTAATTTGTAATTGCGACATTTTAATTATTTATGAGAAGACAATTATCACAATTATCAAGTATTGGTCAAATTTGGGAGATATGATTCTTTAACATTCGAGTAATCACAAAAGATTTTCTATATTATATAATATAATATAATATATATTATCAACAATCAAACATTCCCCTAACCTTAATCCTTAATCATCGGTGAAAAAACTTTTAATCTGACAATAGTGTGTGAATTCAATTAAATGTTTGGCGCTGTCATACGACCAAAAATATTTTTATACCTAAAATGGTTTATTGTTAACAAATTTGCATTATCTACTTTTTTATATTTCATTGTAATCAACTACATTGAAGGAAATACTTAAATATATCAAAAAGATTCGGGTAGTACAGTTGGTACAATCAGTAAAAATTAAGGATGCGGTATTCTAGGGAAAATGAAGTTTATTTTCTCTAGAATTTTTCTTATATCATACTATTCAATGGATTTATGTTATTTTTTCTCAAGATTTTGGTTTTCATCTCTCTTTCCGATTAAAAGTACATTAACGCGGAATAATGAGAACATTTAAAATTAAAATTCACCACTTATAATTATTACTACATAAGAATTTATGGTTAGAGTTTTAGAGTGATGGCGGCGATTTTCTTTATCTATTTACATTCTTGTTTAAAATTCCCACGCGATTTTCAGTACCGACATATTTATCAATAATGACTGTATCATGCGACCAAAACATGGGACTGAACTGATATAAATATCTACGCTTATCCAGTTTATTAGCTTTATTTTTCCCATATGCGACTTTACAAAAAAATCAAAGAAAGCGTTTATATCCGTGACGGCATTATCTTTCGCGGTGATGAGGCTATCACCATAAAAGAAGATTTGGAGGCTGAAAAGCAAGTGGACGAATTAAAAGCTTCACTCGAAAATATTGCCGATAGTGATGATCTATTTAATTCAAATGATTCAAATGATTTGAATGACCAAAATTCATCCCTATTGTGTTCCGCAAATGGTGGAAATGGCGGAGATGGGGGAGATGGAGATGGGGGAGACGATGGAGACGATAAAAATAAAAAAAAATTATTTGGATGGGTAATTATCCAAAAATTTGTTAGTTGAAAATTCTTTTTTGAACTTTTATCTCTAACTTAGTTCATTACTTTATATAAGAATTTTAATGCCAAGGGTACCAAGGAAGACGTCAGTGATAATGTGACCGGCAGCAATAATGATAAGAATACATTCCGTTTTAATCCGAGTATAAAAAAAAATGAAAACAATAATTTTAATATTACGGGGATCGAAAAGGTCGCGCGTAATAATGTAGCCGGAGAAGATAACCGAGCGAATACATTTTCCATAGATTTAACCGGGTTTAACAATCGACGTAACAATATCAATGTTACAGGCATCGAAAGGAACGTCCATGATAATGTAGCTGGTAATAACAACCGGGCGGATAAGTTTCACGTAAATGGAGTTTTAGTTGATACCCAAGTGGGAAATATTGATGCCACGTTAGCTCAGGCAGAAATTAGAGATAATGTGGTTGGAAACAACAATCAAGTGGGTACATGCGATATAAAAGCTACTGGGATCAGCAACAATTCAGGAAATATTAACGCTACGGGTATTAGGGTGGAAATTAGCGATAATGTGGTTGGAAACAACAATCAAGTGGATAAATGCGATATAAAGGCTACTGGGATTAACAACAATACTGATAATATCAATATCACGGGTGCCAATATTACCGCATCCAAAAATGTGATCGGAAGCAATAATGATGTAAATATAGTCAAGATAAATATGAACGGGATTGAAAACAGTAAGAGAAACTTTACACGTACATTTTATGAAAAAGATTTTAATAAAAAAGTAATCGGAAGCGAAAACAATGTGAATTTGGTCAATATAAATATGAGTGGAATTAGAAACCAAGAAGGGAATATGGAATTTAGGACGGTAAGCACAAGCAACAAGGTGGATGGATACAACAACAACGTGAAAACCTTCGATTTAGACTTATGTGCGGCTGAGAGACAAGTTGGTAACTGTAGTATTACAAAGGAAATTGAAGATCTTGAAAAAGGTACCAACAGCAATAAGAAATTCAAAGCAAAAATAGCCGGAGTTAGTGTGCAAGAGGGGAATTTAAGTATTGGGGGTAAAAACGATTCAAAACTATCCGTAACTGTAATTGGAGGTGGCGAGAGTTCAGGAAATGTATGCATTAGCAAACCGTCAGCCGGCGTTGACGTAGGTTTCAGTGGGCAAGTCGGCTTTGGAAATGTAGACATCGGTACTCGTTTGAATTTAACTATTGGACCTTCCCTAGGCTTTTCAATACCATTTCTGGGGTCAGGAGGAGGAGGCAATGATGATGGCAAAGGCGGTGGTGGCGGTGAAGGTGGTGAAGATGGTACTCAACCTGGTGGTGAGGGTGGTGGTGGTACTCAACCTGGTGGTGGTGAGGATGGTACTCAACCTGGTGGTGAGGGTGGTGGTGGTACTCAACCTGGTGGTGGTGAGGATGGTGGTGGTACTCAACCTGGTGGTGAGGGTGGTGGTGGAAATCAACCTGGTGATGGAGGTGGTGAAGATGGTACTCAACCTGGTGGTGAGGGTGGTGGTACTCAATCTGGTGATGGTGACTTTCAACCTGGTGGTGAGGGTGATGTTCAATCTAATGAAGGTGGTGTTCAACCTGGTGGTGAAGGTACTGCTCAACCCGGTGAATGTGGTGGTGTTCAACCTGGTGGTGAAAGGGGTGTTCAACCTGGTGATGGTGGTGTCCAATCTGGTGGTGGAGGTGATGTTCAACATAGTGAAGGTGGTGTTCAACCTGGTGGTGAAGGTATTGTTCAACCCGGTGAATGTGAGGGTGAATGTGGTAGTGTTCAACCTGGTGGTGAAAGGGGTGTTCAATCTGGTGAAGGTGAAGGTGGTGGTGTTCAACCTAATGGTGAAGGCGGTGTTCAGCCTGGTAAAGAAGGTGTTCAATCTGGTGGTGAAGGTGGGAGCGTTCAACGTGATGGTGATGATGATGATGATATTCAAGGTGATGGTATTCAAGGAAGAAGTTGGTCATCATTTCTTCCGCGATGGAATACTGGAGCCTCTTTAAGCGGACATCAATTTTTCACTTACGATGGTGAAACTAATATCACCTCCACAGATGAACTTTCATCCGAAAGCAATAACTCAACTTCTGACAGAGTTTACTCTTCCTCCTATTCTTCCATCGGTAGTAACATTCACTCACCCTCCATTGTAAGCAATATTCCTTCATCCTCCGTTTTCTCACCTTCTGACAGCAATATACCTTCATCCTCTGTTGTCAGCAATATACCTTCATCCTCTGCGGTCAGCAATATACCTTCATCCTCCGTTCCTTCATCTTCTGCTGGTTCCTCATCATCCATTGTCAGCAATATACCTTCTTCTTCCGATTCCTCATATTCTGCTGGTAGCAATATCTCCTCATCCTCAAATTCTGTTGGTAGCAATATCTCCTCATCCTCTGCTGGTAGCAATATTTCCTCATCTTCGTTTACCTCCAATCAAGATTATTCATCTTCTTCAAGTTCGACATTTAACAATAACAATGCAAGGACCAAGTCATTTAACCACACTGGCTCGAAAAAAAATAATTTATCGTCAACTTTTGATGGTAATACTAATGAAGCAAAAAATTCACAAAAAGAGACAGCGTTTGAGCGGGCTTTGGCTGGTGCAATTCAAAAAAATCCACGTTTGGCTTCAGCTCTTCGTACTTCTATATCTCCTACAGACCAGTCTTCACAAGACAAAACCTCAGATTCCAAATCGAAGTCCTCTGAGTCGTTTAACCCTCGTGACCTTAAATCTCTTATTGAAATGCGTATTCGCCGTGCTGAAGCTGCTGCAAATCGACTTAAAGAAAAAAAAGAGAGCACCAATACCACCTCCTCTTCCACTTCCAGCTCTGGTGATCCTAATGGTAATAACCCACAAGACAAATCGAAAGAAGAAAAAGAAGAAGAAGAAGAAGAAGCAGCCAAGCCTACAGGACCATGTAAAAGTCATCCACCTAGTGTTCGCTGTTTCCGTTGTCTTACAGGTGGTTCTGGAAAAAAAGTGAAACGCCTAAAAGGGAATGTGTTTAGTTTTGCCAGCTAAATAAAATAGTCTCAAAATGTAAAATATGTATAAATTTATTATAATATATAAAGTTGTTCGTATTGAAAAATAATATTCCAGTGAAAATAATTGCATTATACACAAGAAAACTTTGATATTACATTATAATTCTTAAATATTATTTTAACATCAACATTTTTATTATTATAACAATCTGAGTATATTTTTTTTATTCTTTATTGTTATTATTTATTTTTTTTTTTTTTAAATATATTTACAGTTAAAACTTTTATCTACATACATGAAAACTAATAGATGTGAAAGAATTCAGTGACCACCATACAAAAAGAGAATTACATTGCTTAAGAACCATCATTTCTTAAATTGAATCGGATTAAATCTAAATCGCTATAAATTAGGCCATCATTAAGTATGAAGCCCAACTCACTTTCATTGTTGGGCTGTTGGGCTACATTTATGAAAAAGATGAATATAATAACTTGGAGTAAGTAAATAATAATTGAAAAAAATGTTCTTGAATTTAAATAGTTTTGTGGGTTCTTTTCTTGTGGGTTGGGGTTTTGTTCTTGTGTATTCTAAAAGGTATATAGAGTGAGATCTCAATGAAAGAAACGGGATAAGGGAATGGAATGGGGAAGGGGAAAGATTAGAGTTTATTTGCTTACATTTTGTTCAGAATTTGAACATACTTGTTCGTGACTTGGGGACGAACTAATTGGTATGTGATCGTTATTAAGTTTTGAAGAACTTCCATAATTATTTGTTTGTTTTGTTGTTGAAGGGCCTTCGTAACTGTAATTTAGTTTTGATGTTGAGGAACGAATGTCGATATTTGAAATTTCTGATCTAGGTGAATAGGGCTGAGAGCCTGAACGTGAATGACGGCGAATACTGTGACCTTGACTTGCAATCTCCACGTCTAATAAATAGTATTTTATTCCATTAGTTAAACCGAATGGATTTTCCTGTAGGTAATGAAATGAAGAAAATATTTTTTAAAATGTTTAATTTCAAAATAAAAAATAATATAATATTAATTATAAAATAAAATAATGGAAACAAACATTATTGGCTATATATTCTGTGATCTCAGTGATTTGGGCAACTATGTGATCTCTATTTAATCGTTCCGAGATTTTATCTGTAACTCGTAAGAAGTGATTCTTGACATTAAATGCGGACCAGTTATTATTAAAACGTGTAGGTAAGAAAAGAGCGAGGTCCCCGACTTTGAAACTAAACATAATCATTAAAATTAAATATTTATGAAAAAAAAAATACAATAACTGACTATAATAATGAGAATGATTATATTTACTTCTTAAAGGTAAGTTTTTCTTTCGAGTCTTGACTGATTTTCTCGTATTTTTCTTGATAAAAAAAAAAAGATAATTTATTTAATAATTCAATGAAAATTACATTCCCTAACAATCTCAAAAAATCATAATAAGTACCCTTATATTGTTTTTTCGATTTTTTTTCTTTTGCAGCTAGTGCTTTCGCATCAGCGGGCATTTTCCTAATCATACCATTGATTTTAGCAAGATTAACTTTAGATGTGAGAGTGACCAAAGTTTCGTATCGATCTTTTGGCCAAATTTGTTCATCTGCAAAATCAGATGCGAAAAATTTATCTAAGTCATCAACATGATAACTGTCTGACAAATTTGATTCTGTTGCTTTCGTTTGGTCATCATCTATTGGTGTCAAAGAAATGAAATTTTGTCGGTCGGATGTAACAGGCATCGGTAATTCTAGATCCCTCATTAGAGTTCTGGTATTATGGAAGTAATTCCAAAGCTCCTTACTAAGGATACGAGTGAATTCGTTTCGTTCTTGTTCTAAATTTTTGATTTTTTCACGTAACTAAATTCATATATTTAAAAAATTCATTTAATAAAGTTCATACATTTATAAAATAAAAAATGGAGAAATCAAATGGCCAAATGAAAATACCCTATCAAGATCACGTTGTGATTCTTCGTGTGCAGTGAACATCCTTCCAAATTGATCTTTCCATCCTTTAATGTCCTGCATCAACTAAAAAAAAAACGTACATATGAAAATGTATTATAGGCTGAATGTTTAGAACTAGAAAAATTACATATGTCATAAATTAATAAACTTACTTGATTTTCCAATTCATTTTTTTTCATTGTTATCTCGGAACATTTCGCCTCCAATTTTTCTTTGTCAGCCATCAACCCAGCATTCAAATCTTCGACTTTTTTAATTTTAGAATCCAACTCTGCATTGGAAACCTTCAAATCCTTCTTGTAGGCTGCTAACTCAGAATTAGAGGCCTTTATTTTCTTCATTTGGGCTGCTAATTCAGCATTGGAAGCATTTAATTTCTTCATTTGCGCATCTAATTCAACAGTTGAATCCGCAAACACCTTCTTTTGTGCAGCTAACTGGGCATTGACAGCTTCCGATTCCTTAATTTGTGAAGTTAGCTTGACATTAGAAGCTTCTAATTCTTTAATTTGTGAAGCTAACTTGTAATTTGAAGCCTCCAATTCTTTCTTCTGATCATCTATTTTAGTATTCGAGGTCTCTAATTCTTTTTTCTGATCATCTATTTTGGTGTTAGAGGCCTCTAATTCTTTAGTTCGAGCAGTTAACTCGGCATTTGAAGATTCTAGATTTTTAATTCGTGTAGTTAATTCTTTATTTAAAGACTCTAATTCTTGGTTTCGTACGTTTAAGTTAGCATTTGAAGTTTCAATTTCTTTCTTTTGATCGCCTATTCCGGTATTATAAGCCTCCAATTCTTTAATTCGAGCAATTAACTCAGCATTTGTAGCCTCCCATTCTTGGTTACGTACGTCTAGTTCGGCATTTTTAGCCTCTAATTTTTTATTTTGTGTGTCTAATTTAGCAATGGTAACGTCTAATTCATTTTTCTTTGAGTCTAACTCAGTGTTGGTAGTTTCCAATTCTTTCTTTCGTGCTTCAAGCTCATTTTCCAACACCTTCATTTGGGTTACTAACGCCGAGTGTTTAGATTCCCATTCGGATTTTAAATTTTCCTGTTCTTTAATAAAATTTATAGAAATATTTTCAAATTTTCCTTTTTCGAAAGCTTGTGATGATTCATGCACTATCAAGTCAGGATTCGAAAGTTCAGAAGCTTTTGAAGCCTTAAAATTTGTTTCAAGTAAATTTTCGAGACTTTTAATGCGAGATTCATAAGCCTGTAAAAGTGTAAAAATGATTATGATATAGTTAGAAACATTATTAAAAAAAATTATAAAATTTTATTTAAAAGAAACAAGTTAAATATATTACAAGTAATTTTTCATTCGCTTTTTCTAATTCTTTTGTTTTTTCGATGTACATAATTTCAGTATTTGATGCTAATTTTGTTTTACTTTCATCAGGAATTGATGACTTAGATAAAAGTCGCAAAAATGATGGTTTTTTCGAGTTACTTGACGGATTCATATCTAATAATCATGAAAGAAAACAAAAGGTTATTAAAAATCTTTAAAAACATTTGAAAAAAAAAATTTGTATGTGTTAATGATTAACCTGTCTAAGTGAGTGAAATTTTAAAATTGGTAGTTGGAAAATTTGAAAATTATTGAAAAAAATTATTGGGGTAGGAAGAGATTTTATACCTTTTCATATTTTCATATCATAAGAAATCAAGGAGGTAGCATTGTAATGTAAAAAAATAATCAATCAATTACATAATAGATCAAAAAAAAATTCTATTGTTGTAGGATTTCTGAATTTAAATTTAATAAATACCTTAAAGAAATTAGGGAATGAAACAAAACAGATAAGATTTATATCAATGATAGTATTAAACATCACATGTGTAAAATTAATAATTAAAATTAATAATTACCTTCTTTAAAGTTTCTATCCATCGCGTAACTCTCGTGTATATTATTCTCAAATTCTACATTCATAGAATCAATTTGTCCAAGTAATTGGATTAATTTAGATTGTAACGTGGATAATGGATCAATGGGTGGAAGTTGTTGTCGTGTTTTTGTTGAAAGAATGTTTGACGACCGAAGAAAAGATGCCTGTGACATCACTAATGGACGTATTTGAATTATCATATTCAAAAATGCTTTAAAAATAATAATTGAAATTCAAATTAAAATTAGAAGTGAGCAATTTACAGAATGTAATGTTGAATGTGCATTTAGAACAAATAAAATAATTTTTTTTTTTACATTGTATGTCATCTTTAGAAAAGGATGGTAAACGATTGTCACTGTTCACAGTAGTTACTTCGCAAATAGGTGGACTATCATCCAAAGCTATAAATTTAAAAAACATATTATTTGTATACGTTATTTTAATACACACGAATACATATATATATTTCCTTAGAAAGAACATAAAGATACCTGGAATATCTATTGGAACATATTTTTTAATTTCCAAACGATAGTTATCACGTCGTCTTTGCTCAAAATTACGGACTTCAGACATTACCTCTGCAAATTGTTGAGATTTTGATAACAAAAGCTAATTTATAATAATAATAATAATAATAATAATAATAATTAGATTTGTAAAAAAAAATAGAGATATCCATCACTAGAAGAAATAATTAAATACTTTAATGAATTCCTTTCTTCTCACGATCTCAACGAGTGTGATAGCCTGTTATTTTTTTTGTTTTTTTTTTTTTTTAAAAAAAAATTAGTCAAGAATTATTATTACAAACACATACATAATCACAAATTTATATATTATATGCTCACATAAGCAATAGGCATTTGATGAACTTGATGTAAAGATAAATATTTCTGTCCTTTAGATCGAATTTCAGAATCAAGTAGGCTCATTATGTTCGGTATACCAGAAATCGCAGATTCAAGACGCGAGATTTCTTGAAGATTACTTATTAAATTTTTTGTCATGTTACTCTAAATTTAGAAAATTTTATGTGAATAACGAATAATTTAATTTAAACAAAAAACAAGACACAACCCAACACAAATAAACAAAAAGACATAAGTACCTTGCATTTCATAAAATATCTGATTCTTTCACGTATATACTCATCATATTTTTGAATTTCTATTAAATTTTATTTATAAATTAATGAAAGGAAGGAAAGTAAATGAAATAAGAGAAGGAAAGGAAAGAAGAGATTATTTACCGGGAAGGTAATCTTTTAACTGATAACTGGCAAGATTTTCAATCGCTTCAAAAATTTTCGTTTTTGAAACAACTTTTGAATGCAGTGCTTCAGTCATCTTTGTTTGAACTCGTGTAATATCTGATAAATATTTAGGTATGTTTATTATTATTTGCATCATTCATAATAAAAAAGAATAAAAAATTTAAAATACCTCTTTCCAGTTTCTCACTTATTTGTTGAATCTTATCGCAATATGTTCGATTGTTATTCATTGAATTTTCCATTCTCTGGAATCTAATAATCAAAAAAAAAAAAATAATAATAATAAATGATCATAATCACATGACTTATTATTCATTTAATAAATTTATTTCATAAACATACTCGTTATCAAATCTCTTCTTTATTAATTCTTCAGTATCCAATTTGATGGATCGAATCGTGTCGCTTAACTCAATTACTCTCTTGGAAAGTTGTTCTAATGATAATAATTAATGTTAATTAATTATAATAAAGATAAAGATGAGATTTATAAACTCATATTTAATAAAACAATAATACTTGGTAATGTAATTAATTTATATACAAACCATACTCTTCTAATCCCTTACGAGCTAATGTTAAAAGTTGTTGTTCTTGAGACACGTAGTCGGCTAATGAATGTGAATCTTTATTTGAAACAACTCCCGAAGAATTTAAAATTTCGGGATGTATTTTGATATGTCGGAGTGTTTCTAAACACGTAGGAAAACTAAGTTCCGTGAAAATTAAACATCATTAAAATTCCGTATGCTTTAAATTTTAATTTATTATTTTCAAATAAATTAAAATAAAAAATTAGTAAGTTAAAAAAATGAATTCACCTTTGTAATGATATTTCCTGTGATGATATTTCTTTCTCTGCAAATTTATAAAATGCTTCATGAGCCTCAACCACTGAGCTATATACCATTACATACATAGATAGATAGATATATATATATATATATATTAGAATATATATTAGAATATATATTAGATTTTTATTGAAATATCTTCAAATCAGAATCTTGGAGGAGAATGAAATAATGAAGAAATTACATACAAACAATGAGCGCTAAGGTTCGTCAAGGCGACTACGATTGCCATTAGCTGATTCTTTTGTTCTTGAAATAATCGTTCGCATATTTCAGAATGATATTTTGCCGTTGTCAATATTGACTTTTATATGAAATACAAATAAATACAAAGAAAAAAAAAAAAATAAAATAATTTCAGGAATAAATTTAGAAAAGAAAAATTTTCTTTCAAACTCCCGAATATGATGCCTTACCTGTCCTTGGGAGTGATTCATTTGGAAAAAATTGATAGCACCAAGTGCATCGGAAGTGTTTAAATGAACTTTTAAAGATGATAACTCAGGAGATGCTGAAAGAGAAGTATAATATAATTAATTTTATTGAATGAGAAAAGTTTTTCAAAGTCAAAGTCAAAAAAAAAGGGGTTTGGAATGAAGTTTTACCAGTTATAGGTGGTTCCAGTGTGATACCTTCGATTAGAGAATTTATGTCCCTTGCGTTATTCGGATTTCTGGAATCAAGAATATCTCTATTAAAGAGATATATTTTTTGCTTGTCCTAATAACAGGAACGAAAAATTCGTAAATAAAAAAAAAATAAAATAAAGAATTTTGATAATAGAAGGAATAGAATAGAAATAGAATAATAACATTACATTGTTCGAAGTTCGAAGCATATCGTTAATCATTTCGGCTTTGAGTTGTAATCCGGAACCTGTCATTAAAATTTGAGAGGTAGCTAAGACGCCAGTCGCTCTTTCAAGTTCATATTTTAAACTATCCAAGCTATATTATATCATTTAGAAAATAAAGTGTTATTAAAAGTGAGTTCATGTTTTTAAGTCTGGTTAGTAATTTCTTTGGTATATAAATCCCAAATATTGCATTTCCACCTTTAAAGGCATTACGAACTTAAGAAAACCATTCATAATAATAACTAGCAAGTGTGAATTAAGAAGTTAAACATTCTTCATACCTATTAATAGCTGTATGGATTATAATTTGCTTTCCCGTTTCAGCACGATAAACTTTCATGATTTATTAAATATATTGATTTTTGTATCGACCCAAAAAATAAATATTGTTTTCAACATTAACATTTAAATAAATAAGAATCAATTAAATAACAGATGCCGTTGCGTCATCAAGGTTTTTTTTTTATCATTATTATTAAAACATTTAACCAAACATAACTTTGATCATGAAAAATTTACTTTATTAGAAAGAAATACAAAGTATAGAAGTAACACTAACGTATGTGTAACTTCAAAATTGGCGTAAAAAAAAACTAATCGAAGTTGAAGTAACCCAAGTGTACGGTAAGGATCCCTTCAAAAAGAAATGTAACTTGTAAGTAAAATAAAAATGAGATAATAAACATTCAGAGTGTGAACGATAAGAGAATTCGAAAGAAGTAACATTTATTTTGTATTAAACCTGTTTTACTATGGCTCAATTTCATATTAATAATAGATATTCTGGTCTAAAAAAAATATGAAGATGTAATCGTGATTATATAGATAATTAATCTATCTAAGGATCCATCTATGGATCCACCAAATTTTCCGGTCCAGAGAGCGTTCGTGTTATCAAGCATAGGTTGAGTTAAGTGTTGAGCATATATCACTAGTGTTCTCTAAAAATTAATAAATGATGCTGCGTATAATATAATACGTTTCTATCAAAAACAATGATGCATAATTTTCGAAAATAATTCATTTCAATCGCTCTATTTAAACCTTTTCTTTTTTATTAATTTATATCTTAAGTAAATTTGAAATTATATATTCTCTAAAAGTTTCAAATTATTTGTTAAAAGAATTTTTGTCGAGAAATTAGACAAATTATTAATATATTTTGAAACATTTTATAATTTATTTAACTTCTCGACGAATTTTTAATCAAATCTTACAAAAATTTAATCCGTATACTTTTAAAAATAAAAGTTAAGGTTTTTAAAATTTGAGATCTATTCTCGACTTTCAAATACAAATTTAGTTAGTAAAAAAATTTCATATGCATCATTATTTTTGATAGGCATGTAATAGTACACATATTATGATTTTACCAGAATGTTCGAATAATAGAAATTGGAAACTTATGTAGAAACTGAGAATACTCGGTTGCAATGGTTGGTAAGTCGTTATATGCAAATTGAGGATACATAAAACGAACCATAAGATCCCAGAAAAACCGCTCTGCAACAAACAAATGATTTTGGTCCATCCTTAAACTTTTAAATGATAATTCCAATTGATAGTTATACGTGAAAAAAGAGAAATAAATAAAAAGTCATTTTTAATCTTATCGACAATTTTTGTACGATAAATAATGTAGTAATTATACATTTTTTAATTTAACGAAAGTTATTTGTAATTATTCAAATTATTCAAGAACAACAATACTGTATATTATTTTAACATACAATAAATAATTAAATCATAATATCCTAAAAAAATAATGTCTTCTACAAATTATGATTCAGATACAGCCGCTGAAACAATTAAAATTTTCTTCGAAAAGAAAATCTGGTAAAAAAAATGGTTTGGTTGGGGTGTTCATATTATTCAGGGAGAAGAAATTTCTCCATCACATTAGGAAAGCAATTTGTAAATATTGCAAAAATAAGTTGGAAAGAAGGATCACCTCGAAAGTCACCTTGCAAATAGTACCACCTGAAACTAAAGACCATCAAACAACAAAAACAATTAAAAATTTTAAAATTTTCTGATTTTCAAATTATCACAAAAGGTTTTTGTCACATGTGAATTTCATGGCATACATACAATTGAAAATTCTTTCTTTATTGAAATTTTTAAAGATGTACTTTCAGGTAAATACACTTCTTTTCTCAAGAAACAGCTGTTGTAAATCTTCGAATTATTAAGCCTTTGAAAGACCCCAATCCTTAAAAAAAACCAAATTTTAAAAAAAATTTTAGAGATTAAAAGTAAAAGTTAGAAAATTTACAAATCTTGGCCAAATGCTTATGACTTTTAAACAAGCCATTTAATTTGAATAATCTCAACATTATTTTGTAGCTCTAATCATGTTCTATCAAAATGTGATGAGATATTTTTTATTTGTACACTAGAAAATTTCCTATTTTGATTTAAAAATTAATAATGATTATTACGGAACGAGATTTGAGATTTTGTACGAACTATTTTAATCACGTTCGTGCTGTACAATTTATTATACAGTTTATTTGTATACCAAAATTATACGAAGTCATATAATGTTACGTTTAATTGATAAAATTCGGGATAAATTTATATAGCTTGGAATCTGACGCGCGTGTATAGGTGAGTATAAATTGTCACGATATGAAATTTTAGTATCTGTTAAGTAAGCTATTTGAGTATTTTTTGCAAAAGTCTGGTAAATTTTTCAAAAAAATAAAAGATATTTTCTTATATGCTAAAAAACCAATTCTTTAAAACTTTTTAAAACTGTATATTTATATAATACTTTTGTGCACAACAGATTCAAATTATATTATAGTTTTATTAAATAACTTAACCCCGATTTTCTATACCTTTACGTAATTGTTTTCCTGATGGAACTTTAAGAATAGAAATAAATTCTTACAAGATGTTATTTTAATACAAAAAACTGGAAGAAGAAAATTAGGAATTACACGATATAAATGAAATATAACACGATAAATAAAATTTAAGGAATGAATGGATAAGTCAACGAAATAAAAATAATAATCAATAATAAATGTAAAGCGCTCAAAGTTTAAATGGCCAGAAGAATTAATAAATATTTTTTTGCATTATTCTTTATTGAAATAAAATTTATCAAATTAAATTTTCAATACATTTTATCTTTGTTTAATTAATTAATTGCATTAAAAAAAATAAGTTTATAAAAAAATATAATACATATAATTTAAAAAAAGTGGTTACATGAAAAAATGAAGATATTTAATGCAATAGGATATTAGAATTTGTTTTAAAAAATAGGTTATAGTTTTTGATATAATAAAATATTAACAAATAATCAAATAAAAAACTTTTTGGTTTTTTTTAATAGAAAATAAGTAAACGAAAAATCAAATAATTACGACTTTTAGATTAAAACGTTGCATTATTCCTAATTCCGAAGTTTTAATCCTACCATTTTCATCTCTACCATTTTCATCATTTTCATCCCGTATCTAACCAACTGATATTGACAACATAATATTTAAGAAATTCTTTTAAGTCAATAAGTTCGTTTTTTAACTTATTTATTCCATTGTCACTGTTAATTTTAGTAGCTGCTAAAAATAAGCTAATAAAATATAAATAGACTAATAGATACATGATAATAAAATAATATGGTGCACCAAGTCTAAAGGCATCAAATGATCTGAAATTTGTTGGTTAATAGATCAGGTGATTTTTCAAAGCAAATTTTTTTTTTTTTATGAACCAAAATTTAATAAAAATCTGCTCTGTATTTGATTTTTGGGTTTATGAACTAAAATTTTTTATCCCACCACTGTATAAAACCTATTACCCCCATTGTTATGTATAAAAAAACTTATTATCTCACTGCTATGTATTTTATCCCAAGGACTTTGAAGGTGTTTTGGATAGATTGGAGGATAACGTAGTCTTCTTTATTTAAATTTATCTTGATTTAGCTAATAAAGAATGTTTTGTAATCCTTATTAGTTATTTAAGGGATTAAGGGGTTTAAGGGATGATTTATTTTAAATTATCAATTTAACAAAATGGTTTTTCTCTTTAATTATGCTGAGACGAAAAAAAAGCTATAGATACTACTTGGAAATTATAAAAAAGTGGTGGGAAAAACCTGATCTGAATGTTTTGAATGCTGAGTATAATGAACTCAAATCTAGCTTTGACTTTCTTTAACAGGAAGATGAGCTTGTAGATGATATTCAATTAAGAATTAAGAGAAGTGAAACCAAGCATATTTGATGAACTTATTAAAAAGTCAAGTCAACTAGATATATGAAAAATAAAAGGACAAAAGCAATTTTATACTGGCTGTACCAAATCAATGCTATGTAATAAGAGAGTAACTTGGAGAAAGGCAGCCATAGGTTCCAGCAAAATTAACACTTTATTTTCTAGCTAAATCTTCATTGATAATATAACTAACTCAAGTAATGATGAAATAAAATGATATTAATGAACTTCTGTTTGATGAAATTAATAAACTTCCATTTGATAAAATAGATGACTTTAGTGATGATGATAATGAAGAATTTATGTTAACATCTCTTGATACCTTGTTAAAAAAAAATTTAGATGATATATAACTTTATACAGTTAGTCAATATCTTCATCTTGTTCAAAACTATAGGTTTTCTAAGCTTTCAGCTAGTAAGCTTTTGGCCCATAGTGTTAATAAGAGTCTATAGTATGCATGAGTTATTTGTTCATAGGCTAGTTAATGATTTAGTAAAAGTGAAATTTTTATATTACATTGTAGCCATCATACAAAAATCAAATCACTTCTATATCATAAAGATTTCAAATTAAGTATTTTCAACTATTTGCATGCAAATAAATTTACCTTGCCCATTCACTATTTTATAAAATTTGTTGAAGAAGAGGTGATTATATGCAATTACACAAACTTATTACATTTTTACTATACGAAGATTTTTCTTATTTAAAAATTTGTATTTAATTTTGATATAGGCTATATTTGCTTTGAGAATTGAAATAAAAAAAATAATTTTAATAGAAATAGCATGAATATGACTACATAATCTTAGTTGGAATTATAAGGACCATTTAAAAAATATTTATTTCAATAGTTACAAACATGATGATATGATAACTTATAAAAATCAATTTATTAACCAAATAATTAATTTACAACCTCAATTTACAGTGTACAAAGAAGAGAATATGGAAAAAATTATTTCACCAGTACTTTTATTATATATTTGTAAGTTTTTTTCAATTATTTATGACGAATTAATCTTTTATGCTAACTATGGTATTATTAAAACATGGGATCCAACAGAAGAAAACTAGCTTCACTATAAGTTACAAGACTCAATA